CCTTAACTTTTCTAGATCTTTTATAATTTTATCTCGTAATTCAGTGCGTTCAACAAAAAAATGATTAGGTTTTGAAGGAAGCACTTGAAATGAATTAAAACTTTTTCGATAGGTCTTTATTTCATTGATTTTATCGAGAGAAAATTTCAAATCTTGAAATGATTTTTCAATGATGTTGACTATATCATCAAAATCATCATCTGAACATTCCCTTTCATACCAATGTGCGTACTTGTTTCTTTCACAACGAAGTGCATGAACAGCATCCTTTGTTTTTTTTTGTCAAGGTGCTTTCCAATTGAATTTGAAAAAATTATTGCATCAAATAATATCGTACAGTCCCACTTACTGGTATCTCCATCTTGATATTTTTGTCGAGTTTTTTTGGTCTAACTTTCTTCTTGATTCTAAATTGTAAAATTTGTTACCACTGATGTGTGTATCATCCCATTCTCCATAAGTTGATTTGTAACGAGAGTTCCATTGTTTAATGAAAAACTGAGCAAGTTCCTTTTGCACCACGTTAATTATTTGCTGAATGTAAGACAGATTTCTTATTCCTGACGATTCCATCTGTACAAAAATTTGGTATATATCAACAAGATAAAAATCAAGCAAATAAAAAAATATTTTACAACCCTTATTAGGTTCAATTGATTTAACTTCACCAAAAATCGTCTTAAAATTACAAAAGAACCTAAAAACTAATAATGACAGAGAGCATGTATGCTACAGCTTTTACCAACTGCAGTATCCTGTCAAACAACCTTTAGAAAAATTAAAAAAACATGATATTTTACCTTAAAGTTTACGTTACAAAACAGACATAAGAATATATTCTTCAATAATTTGCATAGTCATTTGTGAATGTCATGCCTCTGTATCTAAGAATATGTTATAATGTTGTAGCTAATGGTCTTTTTTAAATTTACTAAGGTTTATGTTTATTTAATTTCATTGACTCTAACGCATTAATTGAAACTTGATTTTACAAATATATTTGTTTTACAACATGTTGTAACACAAGATCTTGTTTTTCTTTGACTATGTACGACAATTGTTTGGCAATGGTAAAATTCTTTATCAATCTTAAGACCATGAACCACTATTTTGATTAAATTTTAATACGAAATGAAAATTTTTAATCTATGTTGATAAACCAACGCGTTTTGAGGGGATCATTAACGTAAACTCGAATGTTGAATATTGCCTATTGGTCGTGACTTTTTTAGAATGTGTATCTACAAATACGATAAAAATTTTCAGATATAATTTCTATGAGCTTTTACAAAGATCTCTTAGTTCGCAAAATACTATAAATGAGAATGTTCGTAACATGTAACCCATCTCTATGGTACGCACCGCTTGAAGAGAAAACTAAGAGATAGAAGATTCTAACAATTTCGATAAGGGAGAAATTAAAGTTTGTTTTTTGTGAATGTGTGCTGCTGCGAACAGCATTGGCCATGTATAAAAAGCATCAAATTCGACGTTTTCGAGAATCATAAAAAATGAAATAACTTTTTTCATATTTGCAAGTGTTAAACACGATAGACAAGGATGTTAACCAGGAAGTTTTATTCTAAAAGACAAGAAGAGAGGCTGTGAAACGTCATGATGAGGATAAAAGGCAGAAAAAAGGAGACAAATATTGACAACATTGTCTTTTATTTGTTTAAAAAAGAGCTGTCATTCAGACGACATTATAAATCAGAATAAGGACAACTATAGAGAGTTTCCAAAGTCATATGGAAATTTATGTTTTGTCTTTGTCTTGAATGCCAGAAGTGACGTAAGAAACGGCTGTTGCGCAGTTTGTGTTTTCACTGATGTATCACGTGATGTCCAGAATTATTTGATTTTCTAACTGTATTGATGAAGTTATAAAAATGTTCAATATCAGATTGATGAGGATATCAGAAAATTTCAGTTTTTTGATTATTTAATACGACGAAACTTTGCATAAATAAGCCAAAGACATTTGCAAAGCTACAAAGATTATCTAAAAGCTGCATTTAAAATCTGGAACTATAAGATTTAAGAAGAAATCTTTGATAGGGTACCTAACTTTAAGGTTTTACCAATGAAGATATTCCTTCTCTCAGTGGTCTGTTGTTTTTTTCTACCACTAGGAGGTGTGATTACAATGTCAAGTTAACCTCAACTTTGAACTCAGTATTTTACTTAACAGTAACTTAGTAGAAACTTCTGTGCAACTTCCTAATTACAAACACTGACTCCAGCATTTAGCATTTATCGAATTTCAAGATCCGCTCGCCTTTTTTATTCTGATATATCTGCTGACAGTGTCTTGTTTTTTACTCTTAACAATTCAACTTCTTTATTTTCATGTATACGTTGCGTTGGTTTTGAAACTTGCTTGATGTTTGTGTTGATTTTTGTTGCAATATATAAACATGACGAATTATTTCAATGTTGCAGGACTGTCGACATTTCTGCACATGCACAGTTTTTTGTAAATTACTGCTTAAGTATTGTCGTTTACTAGAAATGGGGTTTATATTACGATTATTTCTGATCAATTTTTTGATTTCATGAATTTTATAAACAAAACTCATATTTTATACGGGGACATTTTTTTTGGTCAACCACTGTAGATGTGTCGTATCACAATGTGTGACAACACGTCAAAAATAACATCATTTCTTTCAAGTGTTGCCAAACAGAAGACATGTTTGGTGATTTAATGACCAAAAGACTCTCAAAAGTTTATTATCAAAACTTTAATATCAAAGCTATTGGAAGTAGTTGAATAAAATAGGAATAAATTGGAATAAATTGGAATAAAATAGATGTGTCGTATCACAATGTGTGACAACACGTCAAAAATAACATCATTTCTTTCAAGTGTTGCCAAACAGAAGACATGTTTGGTGATTTAATGACCAAAAGACTCTCAAAAGTTTATTATCAAAACTTTAATATCAAAGCTATTGGAAGTAGTTGAATAAAATAGGAATAAATTGGAATAAATTGGAATAAAATAGATGTGTCGTATCACAATGTGTGACAACACGTCAAAAATAACATCATTTCTTTCAAGTGCTGCCAAACAGAAGACATGTTTGGTGATTTAATGACCAAAAGACTCTCAAAAGTTTAATATCAAAATTTTAATATCAAAGCTATTCGAAGTAGTTGAAGTCAAAAAACAATGATACGTTTTAAGTTTGTGTCATGAACATTTGTTATTTATGTTAATATATGACTATTACGTGGGAGTGTTAAAAGGAATTAATAAGTTGTAATATTTATATCTTAGGACACGTGACACGAATGACGTCACATATGCATGCTTCCTTTTACACAGATGTGCAGAATTTTTTGATTGCCTAGCTGTACTTATAAGGTTATCAAGTTGATAGGAAATCAGAGATCTTCAGTATTGTATTATTTAATGCGATGAATTTGCACATAACAACCTTAGCGTCAACAACTTAGCATCGACGAAAGACAATGCAACGTCACAAAGATAAACAAAATTCTTTAGCCCCATTTAAAATGTGAACTTACAAAATTTAATAAGCGATACTATAGTTTATGACAAAAATAAACACACTTGCTGATCAATATTGCTACTTCGAAAACGACTTAAATATCTATACTATTCAATGATGACATGCACACTCTGGCGAGGTGCAATAGAACCAGTGTCTACCCATAGATCTAATATATTTGATATAGTCTTATACGGTAGATTTAATTGTTTCGAAATGTTTGTCAAACGCTCGTTATTTAATCACATTTCAAGTATTTCATTTCTTACTTCTATTGGTAAAGCTTTTCCTTGCTTACTGAACGGATTCGTTGCCAAATGTCTACAGGGTACAAAGAACTTTCGCGTTTGCCAGTACTTCGCAACTTTAGTTCACAACTTCAGTACTCAAGTAGACAACTTGTTAACTCAAGTTGACAAGTTCATATCGAATATTCCATATTTGGAAATGTAACTGGCAACATTAGAAAGTAACTTGGCAACCGCCATTTGAAAAGTTAACTGAAATCGACAATAAATATCTATACTATTCAATGATGACATGCATGAGTCCATTTGCTATTTTAAAGTAAATGTACTTCGTAGTGAGTCATAAAAAATTAAATATACTTTAAAATAAGCCTTACCTTGTTTAAGATGGCAGTTATTTGTTTTTGGTAAGCATATTGTTCTTGTTTGGAATTGTAACTTCGTTTGATTTATCTACAATTACAGAATTACAAGCTTCCATGGGTCACATTTGTACGTCGTAATCAAGCATGAAAATTCTTTGTTTTTGTCTTACAAACCTTTTAACTAGTTAACGGCGTGTAGCCTTGAACAGTTGAACTTTTAGAAAGATTTAAAGTTCTGACAAGTTAAGCATCATATATTCTTCCTTCGAGTCGATATGTTGAAAATTATTTTGCGCTACGGAATTTAAAACATCTTAAGAATAGATTGTTATGTAAAGCAAAGATATGGTTTGATGATTTTTATTGTTTTTGTTCATAAGTTTGAATATAATTTGGATCAAATTGATCAATAGAGTCCTTAAGTGGTGACGTCACGTTTCCATGGTGCTAAAAATCTCAGTTCCAAACAAGCGCCCATTCGATTCAAAATGGAGACATTATCCATCGCTTCGCTTTTTTTTTTCTTCTCAGAAGAAAAGCAATCTATAAAAAAGGGGAAAAACCTCTTAAGTCAGATCACATTGAAGCATTTACTTACCAGCAGAGTGTTTTACGAGGAGAAGTACACGCAAGAATGAAAGAAAAGGTTTATAAAGTGACGGTGAATGCCAAATGTCAAGATTAAGTTTTACACTGTTTTTGTTGCCCAAATGAACACGAGGGCGTGATTTTCTCTTGTAGTGAAATAAAAAAAGGCTTTTTAATGAACGATTTGTTTTAAAAAGTAATGATACTCGTCGGTTTTCAGTCCTCAAATTGACCTACCACTACTAGTTTGGTGTGAGGGAGTTGTGGTAACAGGCTATACATATATTTGCATTTTTATTAATAAACACAAGGATAACATGGTATTTAAAAGACATGGAAATATGGTACATCATTTAATGTTGTTTTCCTGGGGGGAAGGAAAATTCCCATATAAAAGTGATGAGATGCTCATGGGAAATGTTCAGAAAGACCCCTCAAGGGTAACTGTGGGCAGTACTTGCTTTTATTTTTATCCCCAAAAAGACATCCATTGTAAAACATATGTCAAAACTTCTTTTAACTTCTGTTCTCCTAAACATGATAAAAGAATTCTCACAGTGATCTAATTTGACACCCTATGTACACCCAGGCTGTACCAGATGATAAATATTGTAATCCCTAGGAGGTAAAATCATCCCTTTACTGTTATATTAGAATGCTTCCAGCCCCCACCCCTCTAGCTGTATTTTCTTCTAAGTAAGCCTCAGTCTACAAATTATTTTATTTCTATTTGAACAACAATAATTATTAAAAAACTGTCCAATGTAGTCTTCAAGCATAAAACTACTCAAAAACCATATCTTCGCATCCCTCTTTGATGAGAGGAAATTGCAAATTTACAAGTGTTGCACATAACTGAAACAAAATGTCAGCATAGCAGTGCAAATACAAAGGAATGACACCTAAAATTTTGAAGTCTTTCAGCCTAGCATTGGCTCTTTCGACATGAATCTGTGCTTTAGCTATGGCTTTTTGACCTCACTCTCTGTGAAAGTTCCATTATTCAGAAAAGGTGGAATATTGACACAGACACCATGTGGTACAACATCTTGGATAAGGAAACCCTTGTCCACCAGAATCATATCTCCAGCTGTCAAGTGATTAAGGAGTCCAGACTGTTGCACAATGGCCTTGTCTGAAATAGAACCTGGATACAGCCGACTGACATTAGTAATGACTCCATTTGGTGCAACACCAACTATTACCTTAAAGGAATTCATTCCTCTGTATGATAAAAAGGTTGCATTTTGCTGACTCATCAATCCCGGTGTAGCAAGCTCAATATCTGTGCAGACAGGATTCAAATTGCCTGAAAGAGGAGGGTGCAGAGATCTTGTTTTTTTGTTTCTGGGATGGAATCGACGTCATTAGGTCGTCAAACAAAATTTCATGCAAAACATGAGTGAATGCTATAACAATGTTAGAAATTGTGGCCACACTACAATGAAACAATTGGGCTAGGTGAAGCTGTGTGTTGCTCTGTCATACTTTCATTAAAGTGATAATTTGATCCTCAAAATTGATGGATTATACCTTCCAAAGCACTAAGATTTAAGGTTTTGGCTACGGAAAATACAGAGCGACCGTTAAAAAGGCAACTAGCTGAAGCTTCTATCATTCAGTATTCGATGATTCTCCCTCATGTCCTGATGTCAACTCTTCACCTGAATAGAGTCCGTAAATCTCACTTAAAATCACGTAATTCATCAAATTTTCACCGAATAAGGAATTCTTTTTGAATATCAGTTCATACCTTATGAGTCGAACCATCTCTTGTACTCGTCGTTCAGCATTGTAGCGCTTGGAAAAGCAAAGAACTTGCAAGTGTTGCCCTCCGACGAATGGCCACATGTAGGAGCAAAACAGTAAACCATTTTGCCCGTTTGACCCGCGTCCTTTACACTTCTTAAACAAAAGTTGATCCCTTGGATTACCTTTTAACCATTCCTGTTTTTTTTTATTGTCTTTTGTGGGATTACACTGGATAATTAAAGCTTTAGACATTCAAAACAAAGGAAGCGTGTCCAAAGCGCTCGCATAAGATATTTTGTTTAGAACTGCATTTTTTAGCTCCATGGTAACGTGACGTCACACTTAAGGACTCTATAGAAATAAGTATACATTTTACAAAATTATACCGTTTTTTAAGATATTTTGGAAGTAAGTACGTGGTGATAAACCTACGGTGGCCCACAAGTACAATACACGAACACAAATGGAAGTACACGAACACAAATGGAAGTACACAAACGCAAATAGAAGTACACGAACACAAATAGAAGTACACAAACACAAATAGAAGTACACGAACACAAATAGAAGTACACAAACACAAATAGAAGTACACGAACACAAATAGAAGTACACAAACACAAATAGAAGTACACAAACACAAATAGAAGTACACGAACACAAATAGAAGTACACAAACACAAATAGAAGTACACAAACACAAATAGAAGTACACAAACACAAATAGAAGTACACAAACACAAATAGAAGTACACAAACACAAACAGAAGTACACCAACACAAATGGAAGTACACAAACACAAATTCATATTCTGGTTAAATAGCAACAATGACTAAATGAGAAGTATAGCGGTCATCACAATTGCTAACGATTTAATACTTTGAGCTTACATCCACAAAATGGAAGAAGCGATACGATATTATTTTAGTAAGAATTATCAATACAAAACTATTTTGAGTTTACTCGATAAATTCCATGGCATTTCCATTTCAAGAAGTACGCTTTTAAATAAGTTAAAACAGTTTGGGTTGCGTCGGCGCGGGAATGTTGTTGACGAAAATCGTATCAGAGAATACATTTTACGAGAAATTGATGGATGCGGTAATATGCTTGGCTATAGAGCTATTTGGAGAAGACTGCAATCTAAATATAACGTACAAGTACGACGTTCGGTTGTTCAAACTGTACTTAAAGAAATCGACCCTGAAGCATCGAGACTTCGACGAGCAAACAGGCTTACAAGAAGAAACTATTTGAATCCCGGACCCAACTATGCGTGGCACGCTGACGGTTATGATAAACTGAAGCCATATGGCTTTGCAATTCATGGATGCATTGATGGCTTTAGTCGCCGAATATTATGGTTGGAAATCGTCAAATCGAATAACGATCCTCGAGTCGTTGGTCGTTTGTTTTTCGACTGTGTTCAGAACATACAATGTTGTCCTACTCTGTTAAGAACCGATAGAGGTACGGAGAATGGTATAATGGCCACCATTCAATGCTTTCTACGAAGAAACCACCAGGATTCTCTAGCAGATTTAAAAGCACATCGCTATGGGTCATCGCATACCAACCAAAGGATAGAAGCCTGGTGGGCCATGTTGCGTAAATCATGGGCGTCATGGTGGATAAACTTTTAAGGATCTTATTGCCCGCGGTGTACTGGATACTAGCAACGTTATGCATCTTCAGTGTCTTTGGTTCTGCTTTCACCCAGTGATGAAGGACTCACTAAGTGAAATGAAAGAATCATGGAATTCTCATTACGTACGCAAATCACGCTACCATACTGTACCTGGTATTCCAAATCAGCTTTATTTTCTTCCTGAATCTGTTGAAGCAGAAGATTACAAGAAAATGTTTGATCAACGAGATCTTAATCAGGCGGAAGACTTCATTGGCATGACAGATAATGAAAATTGTATTTATCAAGAATATTTTACATACAATGCACATTTGCTTGAAGTTGAAACACCGCAGAACTGGAGAAGTGCGTTGATCACGTATGAACGTTTGTTAGCAGAAGCACAACCAAATCATTCTTAGAATAATTAGTGCCATGTGCTGGTGTGTTAAATATTTGTAAAGCACTTTCTCTTGTAGAGGAACTGTTGTTATGTATGACATGAAAAATAACTTTTTCAAACCTTTATTAAGAATCGCAAACGCTCTTACGTAACAATAGAGCCACGGAAGTGATGAAAAATCCTATACATCGCTCTTGCCAACCAAAAAAATAGATTGAAAGTAAAACTACAGTAGATATTTAGTTTTGACATAGAAAATAAAATAATGTGAAAGATTGTTTTAACAGTATATCATGGATTTCACCAACAACAACGAAACATCACATGTCATAACATGTACAAAGCTAACAAAACTAGAGTGCCACATAAAATTCAGATAAAGCGTACGTAGATATAACTTCAATGTCCCCATTAGACAATATCAAAAGTCCACGAACTCTTCTCGCGAAGAATTGATGAGAACTCTTCAACTAGCTCATTGTAGCACTGATAGGTGCTAGGGACTTCAAGTAAAGGACCACAAGTATGCGCCACAGGCCGACGAGCTAAACCATTTAAGTCAGTGAATGTGACCTTTAATTTCATTTCGGGCAGAACCACACTGGCTCCAGTAGTGAACTGAAGAAATGCACCGACGTTACTTCCAAGAGATTTAATGAATTTGGTCAAGTGTTCGAACGTTACGTGCTCGTTGTCATTTTGCGGAGATGCATCAAGCATTTTAATGACTTTCTTTGGCGTAGGCTTTTTTTCATCGTAAAACAAAAGAATGTTTGAGATATTCTGGAATTGTGTACTTTCGACATTCATCGATTGTAGTATCGGATTCCAGCAGTTGCTTACGTAGCGCGGTTTCTGAATGAGTTCTTGATGGGCAAGTTGGGAGATAATACTTTCAATGTTTTCGCCGCTTGGATTTCTGTAACAGTTGTAGCTGCTTAGCAGGTCTAATAAGTCCGTATTCTGCACGAAGTTCTCGCAATTTTGCAAACAATCAATGATGACATCTTTTCATCTTCAGATACATACAGCTTAAATGCCTGCAACAACATATCGTCAGAAATGTCGTCATCGCCCAGAATACAACTAGCGACAAAAACGGCTGACAAGGAAATAGGGAAAATCCCCTCTTTGCTGTATCCGTATAACAATATTCTAGCTATTGCTTCCCACTGATCTTTCTGGTAATCATGTCGTATTACGGGAACTTTAGCCGCGGCCCCTACAGCAAGAGACTGAAAGAAGAGACACCAAAATTCTGTAAGCACATCCCTAGCAACACCCTTTCCTTCACCTCTCTCTTCAACACCTCGTGCATCAACGACTTTAAAAAACAAAATTGAATTCGACACTTTGGGATCACAAAATGCAGCAATTAGATCTTTCATAAGTGTTGATCGATGAATAGTTATTTCCATTTTGTCGGGAGTGACTTCAGGCTGGCTTCTTTCAAACTGCACCATGATTGAACTTGTTCCACGATCCATTACGTCGGCATGATTTAGTGAATCGCTCTGATCTAGAAAAAAACAACGTAACCTAAATATGCAATATGTTTTGAACAGTTTCTGTAGATTTGCTGCTTTCACCATTCCATTAATTTATCACCTTCAATTGGGAAATTTCAAATTCATAATTTTATATACCTAACCCAACAAAGAACAACAATTGCTTGGTTTTGTGTAAAGCTCTAATTTACAATAGATTTTCTAAAAATATTGCTTTTCAGTATCTCACAATGTGAGTAAAAGTTAAGAAAACCATTTATACAAAGACCACCACAGGATCAATGTTAAATAACAAAGAATACATCAAAAAATAATTCAAGATAATAATAATGAATTATCTTTGTTCATATTTCAAATGTGACAAATGACTTATGCAATTCTTTAAGAATAAAATTTAATTTTACAATTCCCATATCATATATTAATCCAATTACTATACAAAATAAGGTCACAAAAGTAACAACAAACCTTCATGAAGTCTAAACTGCACATCCCCTTCAAAACTATTTTCCAAATCATTGGAAGGTGTTTCCATAGCAGCTATCATTAAAGAATCTGGAACATCATCAGAGTTAAATGCATTTAGAGGATCAGGCATCTCACAAACATTGCTTGAAGGGGATGTATCATTAGCAACTGCCTGTATTGTCGGTGAACATGGTTTGCTCTCCATCCCAGCATATATATGTGCCAGTTCTTCACTATCATCCAGGTCATTCGCAACTACGACATAACAGTTACACATTTCATTCAAACATTTTTGTAAGACAAGCCCATAATTCATTTTAAGCAAACAAAATTGTATGTCAACTGTTCTCTCACATTAAGATTAACATGTCTAAATATATGGCACCAGCAATATGTGCATACATTCATTGCTGCCCTATGACTATGGTAAAGACTATGTACAGAACATTTACAGGTATTTTTATTGTGAAGTGTAAGGGTGCTACTTACGTTCATAGTCATGTATTCGACATAAATATAAGTTGACACGAGAATATGCTCTTCCTATGGACTCTTTATACTTTTCCACTGAGAATGGACTTTGTGTTCCAGGGAGATGAAGCACCTGATCAAAATCTGGATACAAAAGAATCCAACCACAATGACCAATTTCTCTCATATGTTTGTTGTGTGCCAATTGTTTTGTAATTCCCTTTTCTTTAACAGCAACATGATAATCAGTTTTTAGCACTTCAACTGGAAGAAGGGATCCTCTTCTAATTTTCAATTTTCTGCAGTCAACATCAACCTCTGCAACTCCTATATTGATCTGCACAAAGATAATAAATAACAATAAGAAAGGGTTCATTGGGGGGTAACAAAGTACAACTAAAACTGTGTTTGTAGATATCTGACATGAACATCTTAAACTGAGAATGGGAACTTACAAAGACACTCACCTTAACCAGTTCTTCTTTGTTCTTTTCTTTTCGAGATGTGACACACACGTTCATTCTTCTTCCGTTTTTGAATGGAGTTAATCTCTTCTTCTTGAGTCTGTAATTTTTGTCTTCTTTCCATAAACTCACAGAAGGTTAAAGACTGCTTTGTAGAATTATGATCAATGGTGTAAGATGTACTTTGAGATGTACCTTCATATTCACGGTCTGGTGTGCATTTCATTATTTCTGCACCGCAGTTCCCACAGAAATTGGCTTTTTGATGGTTAATGGCTGTGCCACAAGTCTGACAAAACATCAGAAAATTTGTCTATAATGACAAGTCTCAAGCTTCTAATCGTATACGAGAAAAAAATGATCTGATCATTCGCTGTTGAATTGCGTGTTTGTGTAACATTGTGTGCTTCCATTTGTGTTTGTGTACTTCCATTTGTGTTGGTGTACTTCTGTTTGTGTTTGTGTACTTCTATTTGTGTTTGTGTACTTCTATTTGTGTTTGTGTACTTCTATTTGTGTTTGTGTACTTCTATTTGTGTTTGTGTACTTCTATTTGTGTTCGTGTACTTCTATTTGTGTTTGTGTACTTCTATTTGTGTTTGTGTACTTCTATTTGTGTTCGTGTACTTCTATTTGTGTTTGTGTACTTCTATTTGTGTTCGTGTACTTCTATTTGTGTTTGTGTACTTCTATTTGTGTTTGTGTACTTCTATTTGTGTTCGTGTACTTCCATTTGTGTTCGTGTACTTCCATTTGTGTTCGTGTACTTCTATTTGTGTTCGTGTATTGTACTTGTGGGCCACCGTATAAACCTCAGATACATACTCAACGTATGAAAATTTACAATGTCTGATTTCGCAACTTTTTCTCGTTTAATTTAAGATATGATCATAAAGTGGGAGTGTTAAAAAGAATTAATAAGTTGCAATACTCATATCTGCTTTTAAATTTATTGTGACTATAATGCGATGAATTTGCATACATGAACCTTCGCAACCAAAGCTTCACGAAAGACAATTGTAACGTCAAAAAGATTTGCAAATTCTTTAGCCGCATTTAAAATGTGGACTTACAAACTAGTTTATCACAAAGATAACACACTTCCTGATCAATATTTCTACTTCTAAAACGACTTAAATGTCTAAAATATTCAATGATGCCATGCATTTATAAATTTGCGATTTCAAAGTGAAAATTGAGTCATAAATTTCCTTCAATAATAACACAAGCGATAACGTGAAAAATGAAGTAACACATATTTTACAAACAGACGTTGTGGGCCAACGACTAATAGTTACTATAACAATCATTTTAACTTCTATATATATAAACGAACACATCAACGTAAACATACCTTGTTTAAGATCGCAATGATTTGTTTTTGGTAAGAAAATTGTTGTTGTTTGGAATTGTAACTTTGTTTGACTTTGATTAATCTACAATTACAGAATTATAAGCTCCCATGGGCATATTTGTACGTCGTAATCGCGCATGAAAATTCTTTATCTTTTGTTTTACAAACCTTTTACTGGTTAATGGCATGAAGCTTTGAACAGTTGAACATTTAGATAGATTTAACGTTCTGATAAGTTAAGTTTCAAATATCAGCGTCGTTTGAGTTGATACGTGGCAAATAATTTTGGGCCTTTATTGTTATGTAAAACAAAGATACGGCCTTATGATTTTTATTGTTTCTGTTGTTAACATGTTTGAATTTTATTACCGTTCCCTTGGTACGGAAGCGGAGAAGGGCCACTGTGAAAATATATTTTTAATCGCAAAATATTTTTCAAATCCAAAAATATATTTCCAGTCTGTAATTATATATCGAAAATGTAAAAATATATTTCTAAATGGGAAAATACTTTGAGTTTGAAAATCCGAAAAGATTTTTCAAATCCGTAAATATTTTTTGATCAGACTTTAGACACCTAAATGTTGTCCAACATGAAGTATGATCACAATACTTTTAAGACATGTCATTTCCGTAACAAAATGGCGGAAAAAGGAACTTGTGGAAATGAACTAAGTTTTACGGACAGATTATGTTTCAAATGCGGATCTAAACTAGAAGCAAAATTGTCGGTATGTAATCATGCGAAGACATTAGACCATTACATGTCTATAAAAGGAGAATGTAGAGTAGGATTTAACACGAAGATCTCGAGCTCGTCATCGAAAAGGAAATCAACTAGTCAATGTCCACCTTCAAAAAAGCCTGTGGATAATCTTGTTGTAATACAGGTAGACATAATCACCGTAAACGATGGTACTCTAACAGTGAAAAGAGGCTCCAAATTACCTGTAAAAGTTTGCAAAGATTTTGATAGGGAGAAAGTACTGGCGCTGACATAAAAGAACACTCTGATCATGATCAATTTTTTGTTCTGGTAGCAAAGTCAACTTAAAAAACTACTAAAAATAAGTATGAAACTGAAGGAAATAAGAAACAAGTCGTAGATCTTTCAGTAGTGTCTTCTGATGATGATGAATTTTATGATTTTCATTCCTTACCTGATGAGACATCCGATGAACCTACTATGTCCTTTTAACTAAATCGAGATGGCTTGTCAACATCAAAGTCTGATTTTTCTTTGACTTCTAAAAGAAACGAATCTTCCCAAACAGCCTTGCCATTTGGGCATTGCCCTACAAATCCTAGAAATAAAAATATTTATGTACAGTGTCCCACTTGTCATGGAAATTTTGTAGATAAAGACATTGTATTACATGCAGACATATGTGAAGAAAATGCTAACTGACGGGCATTTTATCAAGAAAGAAAATTTGAACTTTCAGTTGATATTGCAGAAGGACACACAAGTGAAGATGTCACTGAATATGTGAGTTTGGATACTTGTGTGAAGTCAATTTCAGATATTCTTGAACCGTTAGTGAAAAATCTCAAAGCACAATCTAGAATAAATGTAAGGAGAGGCCAGGTATTTGCTAATTACATTGAGACAAGAAAATGTTGTAGCTGGATTATCGATGAAAATAAACTTAAAGTAGTTTTTATTGGTGAGCCTGCTCAAGGTACTGGAAGACCAAGGAAAGAATTTTTAACAGGTTTGACTCATCCATTTTTTGTTTTTAAAAAGTACAAAAGTCTATTGCCTTTAAACAGTCATTGTCACATATTTATATCTAGAGAATTTAAAAAATCCTTTATGTTTGCAGAAGTTCTTAAAGAAATTACACAACGACTGTTCATAACTGGTGTTCCCATTATCTCAACATCAGCAATGACAGAGAATGAATTTTTGTATGCTGGAAATCTTATGGCTGCCTCCATTTTGCAATGTGGTCTGTCACCATGCATTTTAAAACCTTGGGTTTATGACTATGTGGTTTCAAGTCTGTGTGAACAGCTCAAACTAACTTTTGATGATTTACCAGCATCAGAAATCAAAACTTTTTCAGAGAAGGTACTTTAAAATTGATAGAACTGATATTTATCACAATAATTTATAATGGGTAACATGCACTGATTGTAACAGCTGTATTGCCACCTGATATAAAAGTATGCTGTACATCTACATACAACTCATAATGATTGTAACAGCTGTATTGTCATCTGATATAAAAGTATGCTGTGCATCCACATACAAGTCATAATGATTGTAACAGCTGTATTGTCACCTGATATAAAAGTATGCTGTACATCTACATACAACTCATAATGATTGTAACAGCTGTATTGTCACCTGATATAAAAGTATGCTGTGCATCCACATACAACTCATAATGATTGTAACAGCTGTATTGTCACCTGATATAAAAGTATGCTGTACATCCACATACAACTCATAATGATTGTAACAGCTGTATTGTCACCTGATATAAAAGTATGCTGTGCATCCACATACAAGTCATACTGTTTTATTTCTTTATAACATTGTAGTTGTTGCAATGCAGTTGCAATGAGGAAGTGCAGTCACTGCTTGGGTCAGAAGAAGGAATTGATGTGCTAATAAGTGTTGGTTCTAGAGTTGTCCCTAGCAAATGTTCTTTGCAAACCATAGACAAGATTCCAAGATATTATGGCTAATATAACTGTCTAATTTTATAGAATTGCAACTGAAGTTACATTCAACAAAAAAACATGGAAGAAAGTACTCACCAGAAATGAAGTCCTTAGCAGTTTCATTGTATCATACTAGTGGCAAAGCGTATAGCCTCCTCTCCAAGCTGTTTATTCTGCCAAGAAAGTCTTCAATTAGACGGTTTGTTTCACGAACTCCAATAGCAGCTGGTATTCCTCAGGCAACCTTAAATCTGTTGAAAGAAGAAGTGTGTTACATGAATGATATGAAAAGCTGTGCACTCTTTGTGTTGATGAGATATCATTAAAAACACACCTTTACTACAACATCACAGACGATAAGATTGTTGGAGTAGAGGACTTTGTGGATATCGAACAAAAAATGGCAACATCGGTCTTGTATTCATGCTTAAGCATATCTGAGGTTGGAAGCAACCTTTGGGTATGTACTTGTTAATGAATCTTGTCCAGTTGATGTTTTGCAAGATTTGATAAACGAACGAAAGAGAAAAAAAACAGTTTTATAAACCCCATAAATCATGAAAGTAACAGTCGATAAAGTAAAAACTCCTTATATCATATAAAATATAAACATGTTTACTTTGTTAGTATAATATGAAACATACTCGAATAAAAGTTCATGTTTAACTCAATATGGGAGAAAAAACAAGTCAATTCTATGTAGACTCTGATGATGAATTTGTAATAAATTGTAAATATTACTGTTAAAATGAAAAATTGTCTTGTTTTTCTTGTCTTAAGTTTTTTTTCTCAAATATCGAATTAAACATGAACTTTTCATTCGGATGATGTTTCATTATAATAATATTAATTTTTTAAATTGGTGATTTTTATTTTCCAGTCACAGGATGTTCAAATAAATACAACATATGCTGAAGATTTGCGTAAAAAGATATAGAACAATGAAACACACGATAGTTTTTACTATGAAGACTTATACTCCACCAGAAAAGACTCTGGGACTACACATGTATCAGTAATTTTGTCAACTGGAGATGCTATGTCTGTCACTACACAGTTGGTTATTGGTAAGCATTTTCATAGTTCAATTTGAAAGCTACAACTTTATCTCGTTGTATTGGCTACGGTGATCGACGGTCAATTACCGCTCTTTTACACAACTGCATTTGTTGTTTGAGCTTAAGGATCATGCTAGTATTTTACACAGTTAACACTACACTGGAGCATACAAAAATATTTCAAATGGAAACATAACTACGTCAAAACCCTGCCTACATCTAGCAGTTTGCTTTGCAGGTCGCTCATTTTCAATGTGCTATTTATAACCACATACAATTACTTTTTTTATTCAGTTTTGGTGCAAAGATTCGATCCTATACAACAGGGATAGTCTACAACAATCATATGAGTTCATTTTCGTTACCAAATACATCAAAAAGTTATCAACCAAAAGCGTCAAAAGCCAAGTTTATTCAGTCTGGGAAACGCTCTGTATCAACAGCTTGTCCAACTATAGTTGTTGATTCAAAAGGTGACGTGAAAATGGTTCTTGGTGGTTCGGGGGGATCGAGAATAATAACTGGTGTGGCTGTAGTAAGTAAGGATGATTCTGTTTTAAATGTTAGTATCTTTTGCTCTTTTTTTATCTTTCACTGAACGTGTCACGTGGTTAGCCCGCCGTAACCGGAAACTCTTTGGTCGAGTAATATGAAAAAGTATCCATTATTACAAATTCACTATATTTCTACCCCCAGATTACCCCCATCCCACTCAACTCCCTTTGACAATAATAGTTAATTTTACAAGCGATAAGCAGTACATATCATTATGGATATTATTACATTTGTCATTTCTGGGTTTGTTATTTATGAATCAAATCATTCGAAAGTTCATGGAAACGATACTTTTTTTGGTTTTGTTAAATAAGCTTTGGTTTGGTTTGAGTCTTGAGGAGTCCATCGAAAGAGGTCGCTTGCATCATCAACTGTTTCCTAATACAGTTTACAATGAGAAAATTATATTCATGACAATGTTCCAGAGTCTGTTTTCATTGCCTTTTAGGATCTGGGACACAAAATGAAAGGATCACGATGATTCTCTGTCGTTCAAGGAATTTATAGAACTAAATCGGGATACCTATTTGCAAAATATGATCCAAGAAAAGGTGGTGTTGCTGTTGTTTTGCCGTAACAATAACGTTGATTAATTAAAGACGGATGAGTGAATAAAGGAGAGATAGTTAAAGAAGCCAAAGTCTTAGAGAATCTTTTGCGTGATGTCTTTGATTGAGACTGTGAGACTCGATGCATTCTGTAATAATAATATAAATATCAATTTCTACATAGTAATATCAATATTTAGTTTTTTCACGAATTTGTTTTATAAATGTCATTTTATAGTATTTTTTAGTTAACGTGTTGACCTCAAGAAAAACATACATTAAACTGCTCTAAATAATAATAACATATATTTGCTTGTAATTTTTCAAATAGCATCCTTCGTGTTCTAGTTGATTTGTTTTCTTAGTGATGCTTCACTATGTTAGACACAAAAATGTAGACAAAAAAAGTAGACAAGTAGACAAAAATTTAGATAAGTGGCATTTGTTCACCAGTGGGCTATAAATGGAACATAAATGCTACTGTAAATATTGTGTTGACAGTTGATGGTAGGCAGGGACAATGGGTGCAACATTTTATTAATATTCTTGAAGAGATATATCAAGAAATTATCCTTTGGAAAAGAGTCGAATACGCCGATATGTATTGCTCCACATGAAGTCTAAATTTCATAAATCAATTGGTTTACAGTATGCTATGACTGTGGTGACAAATCCAAATGATATTGTATTTGTGTGTGATTTACACTTGTCCATGCCTGTCATTATTGTTGATCATATACGTAAGGTGAGATTAGTTATATTAAACGAACGTTAGGTAAAATAATAATGAATTAAAAATTAAAGTACCAAAGTTATGATTTTGATTGTAGCTTATGGAATTCTTAGCAAGTAGAAATGTTCACCTACTATGCATGCTGCAATATATATCATATTGAAGAATTAAAGAGTGTTTACTGAATTACTGTATTTGCACAGGCTTATGGGAACCTTTTACGAGAACTTGAGAACAGATCAGTTCACAGCTGAGGCCTAATGTCGACCAGGTGCGAGTTCTTCAAAAGGTCTCCTTCGTTTGCAAACAGAGTAAACATGGTTTATTTTTTAAGTGAAGAAAGGAAGAACAGTAACAGTCATTAGTTCACATAAAGTTTAAAGAGTTTTTAACAAGTGTCAAAACCTAGATTATTAACAGTTGAATAAAAATTAGATAGTACAAGGTTGATTTTGTTTGGTATTGGTCGTTTGTATGTTATCATGAATAATAAGAATAATAAACAGAACAAACACTGTCGTTACTTTAACTAAAATATAGTTAAACAATGACAGAGAATGTGATGTAATGATAAAATACTGAAATATCTTTCATTTAATGTTTGGTATGTGTTGTTTTTTAGCATCGTATTCAGGGAAACAACCACATTTAATGCACTCTTGATTCGTCTGGACTGTTGTTATACTTTGAACCATCACAATAGGCACTGGGAGCGCGATGGGTATGGACCTATAGCACTGTACAAGTCAGACTGAGATAGGTATGTACTTCGTATGTATAATGTAAGCTATCAATAATCAAAATAAAATAAAATCTTGGCATTTAAGCCAACAGAAGGAAAACCTCGCCCTATTTTACAGGGAGACTTTTATTGTATGATGTGTAATTTTGTTATTTTGCAAAAAGACTACATTGATACTCAAAACGATAAATTTATAAGAACAAACATGGAATAAATTTTTTCCATTTAAAATCTATAAATCTTATGGGTTAAAAAGAGACTTATATCATTACTCTAGATTATTATCTACTTTTAGAATTGATGGCATGGACGTGGAACGATTTAGGCATGCCTGGGGTGTAGTAAAGAAATACAAAAAGCACGAGAGCTGTCGCCTAAACTTGTTTATTGAACTAACAACTAGCTCCTATTCTGGGTGTCCCATAAGGCAACTATCATTACATGGGATGGTGAAGACTGGGACCTAGTAGATAAAATTTGGCAGCCGGCCTGGAAAACGAACGTTTGAAGGTGCTCAACTTTTTTAATTTTTATCATACAAAAAGGAATGTGGAAAGATTCGGAACAAAAGTTGCCATGAAAATTTATTGTTGCATGGAGATTGAAAATTCTTTAAAAGGGACAACATATAATGCTGGCTGTAGTTGAATAAAAAAATAAAAAAATACATTGTAATAATATTTTTCTATCCGATTCATTCCTTTGATGTGTGCAAAACTAGCTGGTCAGCCTTCATTTACCATTGAAGATCTTTGTATAATTTTAATGTCTGTCACTACGCCAAGCCCACAGGTGCATGGAACATTGTTAGCTACGTTGATTCAAGAACAAAAGATTTTCCTCCATTGGAAATGTAATGCACAAGTGAGATTAGCACAGTGATCGGGCTTTGAAATTTTACAATAGTTTAATTGCTAAACGTCGTTTTTATGTACACCTTGTAGAATGCTAATTAAAAGAAATCAAATGTTAACTTGTAGTTGTTCCCCAAGGAGACTTAAATGTTTGGGATTTGCTATTTGCTGTAGCTGAAGTATACGTTTTTATTTATATTGTATTAAATTGCATTTACCGCTCTATGGGGATTAATTCTAAGTGATGATCATGCAAATTCTAAATTTCAGCTGATTTCACAATGTACAATTGACGACACACCTAGTAAATGACCAATAACAACACAACACTTTTTGCAACACACCTAGTCACTGACCAATCAGAATACAACACATTCGTAAAACTTGGGCCATAGTCTAGGACTCAGAACGTGCCATTTGAACGTGAAAGTCGGTAGTTGCACGAAGAACAGTTAGCCGAAGTGGAAATTATTCAATAGTGAAATATCTCTTGGAGTGCTTTGAAAAAATGTTCAGGTAAATGTCTTGTTTCAAGTTCTTTTGCATTGAGTAAACATTGAATTGGGACACTGCATGTGATGTTCATTAATGCAAAGTGCAGTGTGGCTTTCCATAAAGTTTTGTCTTAGTAACTTTTGTTTCCTCTATGCTTGATTTTAGACATGGCCGTTCTTCTCTTAAACGACAAATAGTCATCAAATGAGATTGAGAAACAACAAACAAATGTTGATGTATTTAACATGATCGTAGACTCCACAATTAAAGAAACTGGTTGTTGTTCACAGCGGTTGAAGAGAATTGTGGCTGTTGTCGACCAGTTCCTTCTTCCCTTGAACAACATTACGAGTGAATAAAATGTTCAATGTAAGTATGTTATCAATGTTTTTCATTTATGGAAGTATAGTGTGAACTGACATTGGCTTCAATTATCCTATGTAGAAACCTTCTGATCAAGAATGGACAATATACGTACTTTAATGAAATCCTCTGAACAATGATCACGAATCAACAATATACTTTAATGAAGACCTCTGAACGATGATCAAGAATGAACAATATACTTTCATGAAGACCACTGAACGATGATCAAGAATGGACAATATACTTTCATGAAGACCACTGAACGATGATCAAGAATGGACAATATACTTTAATGAAGACCTCTGAACGATGATCAAGAATGGACAATATACTTTAATGAAGACTCTGAACGATGATCAAGAATGGACAATATACTTTCATGAAGACCACTGAACGATGATCAAGAATGGACAATATACTTTAATGAAGACCTCTGACGATCAAGAATGGACAATATACTTTAATGAAGACCTCTGAACGATGATCAAGAATGGACAATATACTTTAATGAAGACCTCTGAACAATGATCAAGAATGGACAATATACTTTAATGAAGACCTCTGAACAATGATCAAGAATGAACAATATACTTTCATGAAGACCTCTGAACGATGATCAAGAATGAACAATATACTTTAATGAAGACCTCTGAACAATGATCAAGAATGGACAATATACTTTAATGAAGACCTCTGAACAATGATCAAGAATGAACAATATACTTTAACGAAGACCTTTGAACAATGATCAAGAATGGACAATTTACTTTAATGAACTCTTCTGAACAATGATCAAGAATGAACAATATACTTTAATGAAGACCTCTGAACAATGATCAAGAATGGACAATATACTTTGATGAAATTGAAAATACGTGACTTCTAATGTCCTAAAGACCATCTCTACAAAGAATGCAAACACTAAACACTATTCTGGAGCAATGCATCCATCAACCTAACGCCTGTTTCCATGGACAAGTCAATATTATGACCTTTTCAAAAACATTTTCTTGGCATTTTCCTGCTAAGATCACGACTGGTCAATCAATCGCAATGATGGATAAAACCACGCCGCTATCAAATGCCCAAATTTCAACATTATTTAATTGAAAATTTTAGTAATAAACACATGGAATTTCTTTAACATGAAAAGAAAAAGCCTAAAAATCTTAATTTTCCACCTGGCTGTCGATATTTCCGATTTAATGCCGTAGACGACATGCACAGTTGCAAGAAATGGCCAATCTTGTTTCTGTGCTTGCCATCGTCGACATAAAAGTGGTGATGTTTGTCAGGTAGCCTGAGAATTCGATACGATGGTTTCACCATCAACGTTCTGAATTTTTGAAAAAATTATTTTGGGCTTTTTTGTGGCTGTCCTTGCTCAACATCCGATCGTCTTGTCATTCATCGTAGTCTGTCGTCGAACTGCCAAGGATTCGTCGAAAACCGTAAGTGTAATAATAATAAACCTTTTATTTAGTTAGGCCTGTTAACAGGTCAAATCTCTAATATAATTCGGGCAATAGCCAAAACAAATCCTGGTGTTCAGTATATTCCACTGTAAGGCTATTTTTTTAATGCAGGAATACAAATATATATATTTAAAGAAATTTACATCTGCATTTTCAAAAATAGTCTTGATTAAGAGGTAATAAAAGTGTTCTTTTGGTTAAAATAATCCAATAATGTTTATCGGTGCTGCTTTAATTCTTTTAAAAATTTGTGTCTTAGTAAGCGTGAATTTGTATGAACAATTTTAAGTCTGTGACTGGCATGCAACAATTATGTTGTTCTAAATAATTTACCTTCGAAAAACCTCTGTGTGAATATACTGCTTTAAGGAGCTACGCATGATCGCAGCGGTTGTTGCTGCGCAGAAGGATAGGCAGGACCATAGCTTAGAATCGGAAATGCAAGTGAAGTTTGGCCCAAGGAAGGCAACTTCAACTTGGGGTTAGTGGGTACAAATGGTACCTTAGCGTAGAGGATGCAAATAGCATCTGTAAGAAGACCTTTGAAGACTGGATCAAGCGAGCAAGGCCTATTGAAGACCAATGGAAGATCGTGGTTTTGGTTGAAAGAAAAATATCTCTCCCCTAGTACGGTAAGAGCATGCAGTCGTTGTAGTTGGCCAATTTCATGAACTGCTTTCTACATTGACTATTAAGCCACTCCTGCATGGATCCCCTGTAATGCATGAGTAGTTCAACCCACCCCGGTTGGAGGTCGCCCGTAGGTGCAACATGCACTAGGTTAAGTTAAGTTAAGGGCATGATGGGTTACCTCCTTCAAGGGGCATTCCTTTTCAGGGCGGAATTCCGGTGCCATGCGCAGGTAGGAAGTTTAGATAGCTTAGGCATGCGCTGTAGTTGCAGCGAGTAGTTGCTACGCTTAGATAATGAGTATGGGGTTAGAACCTTTATAATTTCAAAGACGAACTCCACTATCAAGAGAAATGACTAAATTTTTCAAAATCTTTCGAAGGAAACTTTAATCTTGTCAGTCATTTTCAAATCGACAAATTGAAACTCAAATGGTCTTCAGTTTGTCAAGACATTTACAGTTTAGGAGCGGCGTGGCAATTACTGTAAATGTAAAAATGGATATGTTGTTTTCTTATTAAGAAAACTTCATTCCTGGGAATTTCGATGCGGCAAGCCACAGCAAAACAGGCATAAAAATGTTTAGTACACCAGGTCTAAGTATGCGGAATGGCTTCATATTAACCAAACTAACACGAAACATAGTTTTAATAAAAGCACAATGTTTGTTTTCTTTGATGGTTACCATGAAGACAAACCGCAGACGTTGTCACATATGATACAAAATAGTTACACGATGGTTTCCATGTTCACCATTCGCGTTGCTATGTAGTCATCTATGTGATAATTGTCAAACTAAAACATAACTTAAATCAAGCGCTGCCGGTTGTTTGGTTAAACCATCCACGGTCCCTCGGTAACCAAACTAACGTGTGCTTCTTCAAGTGTTCTAAATTGTTTCAAAAAATATTAAATTTCGTCTGTCTGCTTAAAATATTTTGAAGTACATTTATCTAATCCATGTCATGCAGCAAGCGCTTGCTCCAACTTTAAGCGTTAGTGGCACCGGGCGCGCAAAGCACTGAATGAAACGGTGCAAAATAGGGACTGCTAAGGTGGCGCTAGGTGCGACTGATTCGGATGTGGATTAGATAAGAAAACACACGTTAAAAAATTCCCATCCAAATTACACAATTTTCTCGTCCAAAGTAGAAAATTGTCGAGTTCGCTGATCGGTTTACGTGCGGTAAAACTAAAATGTGGCGGTTTGTACGTAAGTTGTATGTACGTTAAAATGGCGAATTATATCCATAACTAAAATACTTGAAAGATTTTGGACTTGAAGGTGTCTTTGAGAAATTGACGGTTTTTTTTTTTTTTATTTGCATCGTTGCAAAGGTAAGTAAAGATTTTGTTTCTAAGGGTCCCCAGGGCGCGGAACTTCGGCTGAAATCCTAATGGTTTTTCCTCTTCAGTATTCTCCAAATTCTCGTGGCGTTGTGTTCGGTTTTGGTTTATACCGTTCAGGTTTTTCCATTAGGGATTTTTTATTTCGGTTAAGTCATCAAAAAAAAACAGTGACCTTGGTGTGGGACTAAACTTGTACTACTTGTCATATACAACCATGGAACAAAAAGAAATGTAATTTGAAGGCTATGGATGCTTAGCTGAGCGAACCTAGGGTCTATCAGCTAAAATTTGCAGCCATCTTCACTTTCGTTAAAACAGCGTCATGTTTAAGCAATTCTGCATTTTAGAACAGTTTGGGTGATTTCAGTTTAATCATTTTTTATATTTATTTACTTAACACTTATTGTAAATGTGAAAGTTAAACTTGCATGTATTTGGGGCGTAAAGTTGGATATTTAAGCATTTTAATGCATTATAAAAAAGCTGATAATTGTTTATTGTTTGTGACTTTAAATTGTGAAGTGTAATTGAACGACAAATCTCTTGACCTGTTTTTGTCTATTACGATCAAGCATTAACTTACCAAATTTGAGCTTCAAAAATTCTTCAAATATCAAATTTTGGAACTATAAAATATTCAAAACATATTCAATAGCCAAAATCATCTGAACTTTTCAAGAAAAAAAACAGCCCAACTGTGAGGTATGTTCAAAGAGCGGAAAATTTAGTCTTTGGGTTTGATTTCCAATACACTGTTTTTTAGTATATGTGCTATCAAATTGTCAAGTTTGGATTAAATCCGTGTCGGATGATCCATGATATAAGGAAGGAACTTTTAAGTTTTAAAGAATCTTTGCAAGACGCAACATGTTAATCAAATTGAAGATCATGGAATCGGGTAAAGATTAAGGATTACAAAATAACAGTCCCAGTCTCCCAACGCTCTCGTCTAAATCTAAACAATAGTTTGAAACAATATTGAAACAAAGCAAAGAAAAGATTTTACATTTTTATTAGTTGACTGAGTTGAGGGAAGCTTAGTACTTCCCCGTGTTTCAAAAAAATTCTTTAAACTACGGTGAAGTAAACATATTAAAAATGGCTCTTGAAACTACGGTCCAATAATCCGAGAAATACGAAGCAGTTATGGTTCTCAGTGGAGTGGGGGATGCTCTAGGTTATAAGAATGGTTTGTGGGAATTCTGTTACAGTGGTACTCAAATTCATGAAGAACTAGAAAAACTCGTAGGACTTGATAAAATTGACATTAAAGGATGGAGGGTTAGTGACGACACTGTACTACACATTGCTACAGCAGAAGCGTTGGTTTCTGAATGGACAACAACGGAAGAGTTATTGAGCATTATGGCTACAAAGTACAAGAAGACATGTGCTGAGGATATGTGGGAAAGAGCTCCTGGGCAGACCACAACAAAGGCATGTTTCATGTTACAACCTCTTGAGGAAAAAGGTTACATTATACCATTTAATGAACGAGGTGGTGGATGTGGTGCAGCTATGAGATCCATGTGTATAGGTTTGATGTTTCCTTGTGAAGATCAAATTGAAATGTAAATTGAAATTGCTGTTGAAAGTGGAAGGATCACCCCACAGGTATTCACCTTTCATAATAAAGCAATGATTTCAGATCATGTATCAATTATCAAGTCACTAATGTGTAGTGTTTTGTCTATCAACAAGTGCTGCTTTGTATAAAGTTTGCTAGGTTTTCCTGTTATCTGCATTGCTTTTCATTTTAACAAACCTTTATAGTAATTTAGCTTTTCAATCCTTTTGCTTTTCTTAGATGTTTTATCTTCAACTCTTCCTTTGATTACTTACTTGATGAAGCCATTACCACGAATGTTTCATATCCTTTTACCTAATATCAATTTATAAATGAAATAAAAGAAGGTTGACCTTAGGTTTGCATAAGTCTATGCAATCCATCATTTTTTAGAACCACATCTCAAATGCCTCCATCCTTCTAACATTGCTCACTTTAAATGACCATATCTTTGATCCATCCCTTTTATCACATTTCCAAATTTCAGTCTTCTAAAAACTGTTTGAATTGCCATTGCTGTTTTGCTTTAATATCGTCACTACTACAGCCATTGAATCCATGATCCATATCAAAATGCAGCTATTATGTAAATATGGTCATCATAATGTAAGTGACCTAAAATTAGCAATCTTTAAAGATAATGATTTTAATTATAGGTTATCTAGGGGCTGTTACTGCAGCTTTATATACAGCCTATGCTATGCAGAAGATGGCTCCAAAAAAATGGGGAGCACGACTTTTAAGTGTTTTACCCAAAATTTGGGAATACATTGAGAAGGTTGGTCGTGATGTAGCAGAAAACAAGAAATCTTGGGGCTACTTTTAAAATAGTTGGGAGTCGTATCGTCAACTACGAGGATTAAGAAATGGAACCAGTGAACCAAAGTTTCCAGTGACATATAACATACCTGAACGTGATGCTTTTTATAAATCTGTCAGTTATGCAGGTTGGGGTAGGTCCAGTGGTCATGATGCACCAATGATTGCTTACGATGCTTTGATGATGGCAAAAGATTCCTGGCTTCAATTGTGCTCTTGTTCTATGTTTCATGGTGGAGATAATGACAGCACAGGAATATTGGCTGCAGCATGGTGGGGTGGTATGTATGGTATGAAAGGTGTAACCCTTGGAAATTATAGGAACCTGGAATATGGTCATAGGCTTAAGGAGCTGGGTAAAAAATTCCTGAATGTATCAAAGAATATGAACAACTAACAGAATAGTATGTATTTAACAAAATTCTGTCATCGCAATATACTTTAGTATGTTTGTAAATCATACAATAAAAATTACTACTTGGTTATAACATAAAAGCAAATTACTTTAGAAATAAAGTCTAAAGAAGAATGTCAGATTCAGGGCATGGGCAGTTCTAAGTTCTACTTAGGATGATTCCTGGCTGTAGAGTAAGTTTATTGACTAGATATCAGTGAAACTATATATAGACAAGGATCATTACATCTTTAGGTTCATTTTACCTCACAAAATGCAAATTGCAAACGTTTTATTCACTACCAAAAATACCTTCTGAGGGAGAGGGGAGTTGACTTGGCAGGTGGAAGCCTTGCTCCTACGGTCTATGTGTTAAAAATAGGCTTAACATAATTTAGAAGGTACAATTTTCTTTGAAACACGTAGCTACCAAAGTGTGACTGTAAAGCTTTGTCATATTCCCGAGTTTCATAATACAACACACCTAGATTGTTTAAAAGCCTTAACGACATCAACCTGACTAGTTCCTAACGTTTTTTTTGCGAATATTCTTAGCTTTTTCGTAAAACTCTATAGCTTTGTCGTAGTTTCCAGTTTTTTTAAACACCAAACCAAGATTGTTTAAAGACGCAGCGACAAACATGATTTGGACCTAACGATTGTTTTGAATTTCCAGAGCTTTTTCGAAAACTCTATAGCTTTGTCGTAGTTTCCAGTTTCATAATACACAATACCAAGATTGTTTAAAGACGCAGCGACATCAACATGATTTGGACCTAACGATTGTTTTTAATTTCCAGAGCTTTTCATAAAGCTCTATAGCTTTGTCGTAGTTTCCAGTTTCATAATACACAATACCAAGATTGTTTAAAGACGCAGCGACATCAACATGATTTGGACCTAACGATTGTTTTCGAATTTCCAGAGCTTTTTCATGAAACTCTATAGCTTTGTCGTAGTTTCCAGTTTTTAAACACAAACCAAGATTGTTTAAAGACGCAGCGACATCAACATGATTTGGACCTAACGATTGTTTTGAATTTCCAGAGCTTTTCATAAACTCTATAGCTTTGTCGTAGTTTCCAGTTTCATAATACACATTACCAAGATTGTTTAAAGACGCAGCGACATCAACATGATTTGGACCTAACGATTGTTTTCGAATTTCCAGAGCTTTTCATGAAACTCTATAGCTTTGTCGTAGTTTCCAGTTTCATTATACACATTACCAAGATTGTTTAAAGACGTAGCGACATCAACATGATTTGGACCTAACGATTGTTTTCGAATTTCCAGAGCTTTTTCATAAACTCTATAGCTTTGTCGTAGTTTCCAGTTTTATGTAACACCATTACCAAGATTGTTTAAAGACGTAGCGACATCAACATGATTTGGACCTAACGATTGTTTTGAATTTCCAGAGCTTTTCATAAACTCTATAGCTTTGTCGTAGTTTCCAGTTTCATAATACACAATACCAAGATTGTTTAAAGACGCAGCGACATCAACATGATTTGGACCTAACGATTGTTTTCGAATTTCCAGAGCTTTTCATAAAGCTCTATAGCTTTGTCGTAGTTTCCAGTTTCATAATACACACATACCAAGATTGTTTAAAGACGTAGCGACATCAACATGATTTGGACCTAACGATTGTTTTCGAATTTCCAGAGCTTTTCATGAAACTCTATAGCTTTGTCGTAGTTTCCAGTTTCATTATACATTACCAAGATTGTTTAAAGACCTAGCGACATCAACATGATTTGGACCTAACGATTGTTTTCGAATTTCCAGAGCTTTTTCATAAAGCTCTATAGCTTTGTCGTAGTTTCCAGTTTTATGTAACACCGTACCAAGATTGTTTAAAGACGTAGCGACATCAACATGATTTGGACCTAACGATTGTTTTCGAATTTCCAGAGCTTTTTCATAAAGCTCAATAGCTTTGTCGTAGTTTGCAGTATCATAATACACAATACCAAGATTGTTTAAAGACGCAGCGACATCAACATGATTTGGACCTAACGATTGTTTTCGAATTTCCAGAGCTTTTTCATGAAACTCTATAGCTTTGTCGTAGTTTCCAGTTTCATAATACACAACCAAGATTGTTTAAAGACGTAGCGACATCAACATGATTTGGACCTAACGATTGTTTTCGAATTTCCAGAGCTTTTTCATGAAACTCTACAGCTTTGTTGTTGTTTCCAGTTTTATAATACACATTACCAAGATTGTTTAAAGACGTAGCGACATAAACATGATTTGGACCTAACGATTGTTTTCGAATTTCCAGAGCTTTTTCATGAAACTCTATAGCTTTGTCGTAGTTTCCAGTTTCATTATACACATTACCAAGATTGTTTAAAGACGTAGCGACATCAACATGATTTGGACCTAACGATTGTTTTCGAATTTCCAGAGCTTTTTCATAAAGCTCTATAGCTTTGTCGTAGTTTCCAGTTTCATTTAACACATTACCAAGATTGTTTAAAGACGTAGCGACATCAACATGATTTGGACCTAACGATTGTTTTTGAATTTCCAGAGCTTTTCATGATGATTTTTAGCTTTGCTATACTTCCGTGTCATTATAAAAGACCGAGGATACTAAAATACCAAGCTTTGTCATAACTAGATTCTTCTGATTTAAATTTATCCAATAGTTCAAGAGCAAGATCGTATTTTCCAAAATGTCTTAATCTGTCAACAAAATATTGGAAAACTTGTAAAGTGTTCATGTTGATTTTTGTCTTGTTGGTCTTTAATAATTGAACAATTTTTTCAAGATGTGGCATTAATTTGATTTCGTCGTCTCTCTCTTTAAACATGTAAAGTGCTTTAGATATTTGATCAACGTTAGTTTCCATTTCATGTTCTTCATTTGAATGTTCAGATTGATAAACAATAATTGCTTTGTGAACAATGCGATGTAGACTAATGTCATTATTTTCTGAATGCAAGAACAATGAGCAGTCCTTTAAACAAAGACATATATCTTCCTTTGAGTGTTTGGGATCTATTTTTGAACATAAAAACAATAATGTCTCGTGGTATAGGATCAAACGATATCACGGAAAAAAAGTTAATAACATTTGCCAATATTGAGGATTCTTCAGCATTTTGTCTGACAGCTAAAAGTGAAGCTTGTAACATACTTCTAGGATATACCGAGTTAAATTTAACAAAAGTGGCGTCCATGTTTTCTTGTTCTTCTGAAGATATTTTCTTTAAATATTCTTTCCAAGTAAATGAGCAGTTTGCTTTGTTTACACGACTGACATAACAACCAGCGGCAGCCAAAGCCAGCGGTTGACGATCTAATGCGGGATACTTCATTCAACAATTGATCATCAGTATTATCATCTTTAGTGTAATATTCCAACAGTTGACAACATTCTTTATCATTCATTCCACTTCTGATAGAAATATGTTTGTTAAACTCATCGTCTTGAGGTACGGCATCTGTGTTCTGGATAGTTACTATGATTTGTCCATTTATCCACATGGGATCACCAACTTGGGGGGAGTAATGAAGAAATTTTGCTGAGCTGTGCCACGTTGTCTACAATGATCAACCAATTTTGCCAGAATTTTAATCGTGTGGATACTAACGATCGCAAATTCTTCACTTTGTCTGCGATGGAACAATTTTCATCTTCAAATTTTTTAATCATATCCTTGTCACAGTTTAAACGGTATCCAAGTTCACAGTAAGTTTTTAAAAGAGATTCCTCATTTTTTCCATCGAGAGTCATTACAAACGAAGTTCTATTTTTCCAATCACACGATATTTTTTCACAAACCTGTCTTGCAAGTTGCGATTTACCACTGCCAGGATTACCAGTGATGTAAAAATATGTCAGTTTATCATTGTTATCATTGCTTAATTTTTCAAGATCTTTTATAATTTTATCTCGTAATTCAGTGCGTTCAACAAAAAAATGATTAGATTTTGAAGGAAGAACTTGGAACGAATTAAAACACTTTCGATGATTTTTTATTTTATTGATTTCATCGAGAGAAAATTTTAAATCTTTAAACGATTTTTCAATGATGTTGACTATATCATCAAAATCATCATCTGAACATTCGCTTTTATACCAATGTGCGTACTTGTTTCTTTCACAACGAAGTGCATGAACAGCATCTTTTGTTTTTTTGTCAAGGTACTTTCCAATTGAATTTGAAAAAACTATTGCATCAAATAATATCGTACAGTCCCACTTACTGGTATCTCCATCTTGATATTTTTGTCGAGTTTTTTGATCTAACTCTCTTCCTGATTCAAAAGTGTAAAATTTGTTACCACTGATGTGTGTATCATCCCATTCTCCATAAGTTGATTTGTGACGAGAGTTCCATTGTTTAATGAAAAACTGAACAAGTTCCTTTTGTACCACGTTAATTATTTGCTGAATGTAAGACAGATTTCTTATTCCTGACGATTCCATCTGTACAAAAATTTGGTATATATCAACAAGATAAAAATCAAGCAAATAAAAAAATATTATACAACCCTTATTAGGTTCCATTGAAGTCCGCATTTACATGATGACGAAATCAAACTTATTTTTTAATTGATTTAACTTCACAAAAAATCGTCTTAAAATTACAAAAGAACCTAAAAACTAATAATGACAGAGAGCATGTATGCTACAGCTTTTACCAACTGCAGTATCCTGTCAAACAACCTTTAGAAAAATTAAAAAAACGTGATATTTTATATAAAGTTTACGTTACAAAACAGACATGACTATATATTTCAATAATTTGCGTAGTCATTTGTGAATGATGTAACAATGTTCAATATCACATTGATGAGGAAATCAGAAAATTTCAGTTTTTTGATTATTTATTACGACGAAACTTTGCATAAATAAGCCTTTGCAGCAACAAAAGACATTTGAAAAGCTACAAAGATTATCTAAAAGCTGCATTTAAAATCTGGAACTATAAGATTTAAAAAGAAATCTTTGATAGGGTACCTAACTTTAAGGTTTTAGCAACGAAGATATTCCTTCTCTCAGTGGTCTATTGTTTTTTTCAACCACTAGGAGGTGTGATTACAATCTCAAGTTAACCTCAACTTTGAACTCAGTGTTTTACTTCACAGTAACTTAGTAGAAACTTCTTTGCAACTTCCTAATCACAAACACTGACTCCAGCATTTAGCATATATCGAATTTCACGATCCCTTCGCCTTTTTTATTCTGATATATCTGTAGACGGCGTTTGTTCGTCACTCTTAACAATTCAACTTCTTTATTTTCATGTATACGTTGCGTTGGTTTTAAAATTGCTTCATGTTTGTGTTGATTTTGTTGCAATATATAAACATGACGAATTATTTCAGTGTTGCAGGACCGTGACATTTCTGCACATGCACAGTTTTTGTAAATTACTGCTTAAGTATTGTCGTTTACTAGAAATGTTGTTTTATTACGATTATTTCTGAACAATTTTCTAAATTCATGAATTTTATAAACAAAACTCATATTTCATTACGGGGACATTTTTTTTGGTCAACCACTGTAGATGTGTCGTATCACTATGTTGACAACACGTCAAAAATAACATCATTTCTTTCAAGCGTTGCCAAACAGAAGTCATGTTTGGTGATTTAATGACCAAAAGACTCTCAAAAGTTTAATATCAAAACTTTAATATCAAAGCTATTGGAAGTAGTTGAAGTCAAAAAACAATGATAAGTTTTAAGTTTGTATCATGAACATTTGTTAGTTATGTTAATATGACTATTAAGTGGAAGTGTTAAAAGGAATTAATAAGTTGTGATATTCATATCTTAGGACACGTGACAAGTATGACGTCACATATACATGCTTCCTTTTACACACATGTGCAGAATTGTTTGATTGCCCAGCTGTACTTATAAGGTTATGAAGTTGATAGGAAATCAGAGATCTTCAGTATTGTATTATTTAATGCGATGAATTTGCACATATCAACATTAGCGACAACAGCTAAGCATCGACGAAAAACAATAGCAACGTCACAAAGATAAGGAAAATTCTTTGGCGCCATTTAAAATGCGGACTTACAAAATTGAACAAGCGATGCTATAGTTTATGACAAAGATAAACCCACTTCCTGATCAATACTTCTACTTCTAAAACGATTTAAATATCTAAACTGTTCAATGATGAATTTGCATGTATCACCTTAGCGTCAACAGCTCGACGAAAGATAATTGCAACTTTACAAAACGACTAAATGTTTAAAGAAATCCGACTAAATATTTAAAATATCAATGATGGCATGCATGAGTCCATTTGTAATTTCAAACTTAATTTTCCTCCTGATTCATAAATGTCACGCCATACTATCACAAGTATAATGAAATAACACATATTTTATAAATGTACCGTCCGGACTCAAAGATGAATATAATTGCATGCTAGCAAGCAATTTGAATTTCTTGGCAAACAAACACATCACGATAAACAGGCCTTCCTTTCGATGGCAGTAATTATTTTTCGTAAATAAATTGTTTGTATTTTGCAACTTCGTTTGATTGGTATACAATTACAGGATTACAAATTGCTACGGGTATCTATGATGTATATTTCATAGTACTAAGGTGTGACTAATATTTAGTAAAAATATATTAATTAAATATGACAAACATTTTGTATTTAAGGTCACATTTATACATCGTAAACACAAATGATAATTCTTTATCTTTTGTCTTACAAACCTTTTGCTGGTCGACGGTTGGAGCTTTGAACATTCAATCTTTCAGATAAATTCAACGTTCTGAAGTGTTAAGCGTCAAATGTCTGCGTCGCTTGAGTGGATACGGAGCAAATAATTGTGGGCCTTTATTGTTATGTAAAACAAAGACAAAGAATAGATAACGTAATCTATTCTGTGACGACAGTATCACTGTTCAATATACGTTGAAATTTGATAAAAATAGGACAACTTCTTCTTACAAAGTTGCATTTTATCGTTAGAAATTACAATATTTAAGCAGCTTTAAGGCAATCGTTTGCTTTCTCAGTAAAACAATACCGAAAATGATTTCCGACAACTTGGTATTAATTGTCATCGGGTCGTCGGTATGGTCGTCGGTCACAAACGATGATGACGTTTCTACCTTTGACTGATGGAAACATGCAAACTAGTCAATATTCAATATTATCATTCATTTTGATGGTTGTATTTGTGGTTGTATATGCCAGAAAATGTATGCGATGCATACGAATTCATTTTATTCCTCCTGTCATTGAAGATAACCCAAACGGCTGGGATCCTACCTCTGTTTCAGATGCATTTAAAGGAATACCTTATCAACCATTCTCTAAAGGAGTTAAACTTGGCAAGGTAAAATATTTTATATTTCATAAGAAATTCCTTGCTATCAATGTCTTCCACTCTGACCTTTAGTTGTTCTTATATTTTTGTGTCACGTGGTGAAATTTATAATCATATTTTACTAGCTATTATTGTAAAACATTGTTATGTAGTCATCATTAAAAAACCACTCTACACTTTTAGAGGATAAAATATTTCTTGTATTGACTGTATGAATATAGGTGTTTTCATTTTATGTAGGTTTCTGATTGGTCAAGTACAGCCTATCAAGATCGTTGATACCAAAGTTTGTATTCTGTCTAGACTTCACTATTTTCATGCAGTTTAATCATATTGTTTTACTTCTATAGATAAATACTTAAATCAATTTGGTGGTGGTAATCAATATGCATATTATCATGAAGAAGATGAATCAACTTTCCATCTTGTTGACACAAGTCGTCCACAAAAGCCTGTTTACATGCAATAGGAAAAATTCAATCAGGTACAATAGAAAATTTTTCTATACTTTTAAGTCTCAAAATATAATCACTTCTTTATTATATTTGTAAATTTCTTCATCTAACTTACTCCTTTTCATATGAACAACATTAACATAAAATTTATTATTTTTTAGAGAAATAATCGACGTGATAAAGAGCGTCAAATGCAACGTCAGCAAGCTGGGATGCAGAATTTGCTGAAGACTCGTGACAACAGATTCCATCGTAAATTGCAAAACAATTTGCCAACAGAAACAACTGGCAAGAACGAAGAAATCAGGTTTGTAATAAACTTAGTTGAGGGAGGGGAGGGAGGGTAAGTTTTAAGGTGAAACTTCAGTGAAGAAAGTGGACAAAAGAATTGTGATAGTGTGTTACATGTATGTAAACTTTGAACTCCAAAGGATACATTATAAATTTATAGTAATTATGCAACTTGCATAAGATATTATGGTACACAAACGGATGTACCTCAACCATGAACACCTCGGAGGATACATAATAAATATATAGTAACATGACTGGTACACTTATGGATATACTGTAATTTTATATCTATATATTTAACTTATATGTAGACTCCTCAGAGGATACATAATAAATATATAGTAACATGACTGGTACACTTATGGATATACTGTAATTTTATATCTATATGTTTAACTTATATTTAGACTCCTCAGAGGATACGTCTGTGATGGTTCGGGATGAGTGGAAGGTTATTGAAGAAATGGATTTTCCAAGAATATCAAAATTGAGTCTACCAAATGTTCTTGATCCAGATGATTTGTATGTTGTATCAGAATTCATTGTTGTATAAAACCTTCTTTGAATTTGCTAAACAAATGAAAGCAATTTTAACATCTATTCTGAATAGATACTAATGAATATCTTGTTTTTATGTGTTTATGAAGATCTCTCTATTTCTGTGCTTTGTTAAATAGGGTAAAATGTGGTGAACTGGAATATTATGACAAGGCTTATGATCGTGTCAACATTAAGAATGAAGTCCCACTTGCCTTGCAAAACAGGATTTTCCATAAAGTCACAACGACTGATGATCCTGTTATCAGAAATGTAAGAAAACTTTACTTGCTTTCATTGAATTAAATGGTTTGGATAATCATCATAATGATAACCACCAATGTTAGCCACCAATCATGACCAGTTATTAACCACCTATCATGACCAGTTATTAACCATTAATCATGACCAGTTATTAACCACCTATCATGACCAGTTATTAACCACCAATCATGACCAGTTATTAACCACCAATCATGACCAGTTATTAACCACCAATCATGACCAGTTATTAACCACCAATCATGACCAGTTATTAACCACCAATCATGACCAGTTATTAACCACCAGTCATGACCAGTTATTAACCACCAATCATGACCAGTTATTAACCACCAGTCATGACCAGTTATTAACCACCAATCATGACCAGTTATTAACCACCAATCATGACCAGTTATTAACTACCAATCATGACCAGTTATTAACCACCAATCATGACCAGTTATTAACCACCTATCATGATCAGTTATTAACCATTAATCATGACCCGTTATTAACCATTAATCATGACCAGTTATTAACCACCAATCATGACCAGTTATTAACCACCAATCATGACCAGTTATTAACCACCAATCATGACCAGTTATTAACCACCAATCATGACCAGTTATTAACCACCAATCATGACCAGTTATTAACCACCAATCATGACCAGTTATTAACCACCAATCATGACCAGTTATTAACCACCTATCATGATCAGTTATTAACCATTAATCATGACCTGTTATTAACCACCAATCATGACCAGTTATTAACCACCAATCATGACCAGTTATTAACCACCAATCATGACCAGTTATTAACCACCAGTCATGACCAGTTATTAACCACCAATCATGACCAGTTATTAACCACCAGTCATAACCAGTTATTAACCACCTATCATGACCAGTTATTAACCACCAGTCATGACCAGTTATTAACCACTAATCATGACCAGTTATTAACCACCAATCATGACCAGTTATTAACCACCAATCATGACCAGTTATTAACCACCAGTCATGACCAGTTATTAACCACCAATCATGACCAGTTATTAACCACCAATCATGACCAGTTAGTTATTAACCACCAATAATAACCAAGAATTATAAGTGTATGCATATTACAAATGAATTGTAGGAACGAAATATAAAAATATTTACTTTATTGAAAAATTTAATTGTTCAATTTACTTTGATTTTACCTGATTCTAATGAAAGGAAATGTGTTTGCTACAGATACCATTATATCTACATTGATGACCTGCACAAGATCTGTGTACTCTTGGGACATTATAGCACATGTATGGATAGTATTTTTGTGAGAATTATCAATATACTATTAGTGATATTTATAACTATAAATTAAGTATTTATTTCATGTGATTTTAGCGTGTTGGCTCAAAACTATTTTTTGACATGAGAGATGAATCAGCATTTGGTTTGTAAATTTTAGTTTTAATTGATAATTTAAGAAACAACAAGCTGTTTTTATTATTGATCTACGTTTTTAGATCTTTGACTGTTAATGAAACAGCTGTGGAAACACCTATTGATGATAATGCAGAGAAAAGCATAAACTCTACGACGAACCTTGGTCTTGAAGCAACTTTTATAAACCAAAATTTCTCACAGCAAGTCTTGAAACGCTCAGAGGAAAAGGAGAAGTTTGATAAACCAAATCCTTTCATTGCTGAAGATAATGAAGAAGAAGAAAAGGTGGCATCCGTTCGTTACAGGTAAATTGTTCTTGTATAAATATAGATTGAAGACTAAGGTCTTAAAAAGGAGATATTGTGCTTTACAGCGTGTGTAAAAAAATTAGAACATTTAAAAAATGTCCAGCAAACTATCATTTCATCAACATCCATGTATTTTGGCATTGTCTGATTTATCTAAAAGTAATAACAATCAGAAAAATTTATCTGGAAAATTGGGAATGCACTTTGTGAAAGCGTCAATTTAACTGCTTGCTCAAAGAAAATGAAAGGTTTGAAATTTAATTTAATCGACCTGGTGAAAGTTTGAACTCTGCAGTGCCTTTGACAAAAATTTTAGAAAATTTGACGTTCACCGTGTTCAACATATCAAAATTGGACATTTTGTGTGTTTCACTCTTTTTTCTTATTCAAGACTGATAACATGCATGATTGATTGTTTGAATTTACGTAACTAACAAAAATACTTAATTTGAAGGACAAACAACTTTGGCCAAGCCATAGTTTTCTGAACTTTTTTCTAACTTTTTTCATACACCCTGGCATACATTTGCTAAATTTTAACTATCATTGCTTTATGTTATTAAAACGCGCTGGAAACATGTTTTGACTTATTTATTTCGTAATTTTTTGATATCACAAAAATTAATAAATATTTTATTTCATTGTGTTGAAGGTATACATGTTTTGACAGCTCGTTCTTCCATTAAGAAGAAAAATGTGATAGTGTACAAGATAATTTTGACTTTCATCCTTCGCTGTGACCTTCCCTCGTTAAAATGTTGTATTACTCTCAACCAGTGAAATCATTTGTCTCTTATTTAGATATCGTAAATGGAATCTTGGCAATGATATAGAAATTGTTATAAGATGTGTACATGATGCAGTATTGTCACCTGGAACTTACATCAACATAAAGGCTCTAAATGAATGGGAATCTAAGGTACATTTATGTATGTGTAGGGAGGTATTGGAGAATGTTGTCATTACGTCATGTATGTATGTGTAGGGAGGTATGGGTGAATGTCGTCATTACGTCATTTATGTATGTGTAGGGAGGTATGGGAGAATGTTGTCATTACGTCATGTATGTATGTGTAGGGAGGTATGGGAGAATGTTACATTACATGTATGTATGTGTAGGGAGGTATGGGAGAACGTTGTCATGTAATAATGTATGTAGGTAGGATATGGAAGGGAATAACGTCATGTATGTATGTGTAGGGATAAGTATGAGAACGCCATTGTCATCGTCCATGCATGTATGTGTAGGGATAAGTATGGGAGAATGTTGTCATTACGTCATGTATGTATGTGTAGGGAGGTATGGGAGAATGTCATCACCACGTCATGTATGTATGTGTAGATATGGGAGAATGTCATCATCACGTCATGTATGTATGGGAGATAGCATGATGAAATCATCACATCACGTTATGTATGCAGGGATAAGTATGGGAGAACGTGTCATTACGTCGTATGTATGCAGGGAGGTATGGAGAACGTGTCATTACGTCAATGTATGTGTAGGATATGGGAGAATGTTGTCAACGTCATGTATGCATGTGAGGTATAGAATGTCATTACTCATGTATGTATGTGAGGGATATGGAGAACGTTGTCATTACGCATGTATTATGCAGAGAGGATAATGAGAACGTCATCATCACGTCATATGCGTAGTGATAGGAGAACGTTGTCATACGTCATGTATGTATGTGTAGGGAGGTATGGGAGAATGTTGTCATCGTCATGCATGTATGTGAGGAATAGGAGAATGTTGTCATTGTATGTGTAGGGAGGTATGGGAGAATGTTGTCATTACGTCATGTATGTATGTAGGGAGGTATGGGAGAATGTTGTCATTACGTCATGTATGTATGTGTAGGGAGGTATGGGAGAATGTTGTCATTACGTCATGTATGTATGTGTAGGGAGGTATGGGAGAATGTTGTCATTACGTCATGTATGTATGTGTAGGGAGGTATGGGAGAATGGCGTCATTACGTCATGTGTATGTGTAGGGAGGTATGGGAGAATGGCGTCAAAGCTAGACACTCAACGTGGAGCTGTCTTGGCTACTGAACTCAAGAACAATGGCTGTAAGCTGGCAAAGTGGACTGTTGCGTCTGTTTTGTCGGGCTCTGAGTACTTAAAAATTGGGTGAGTATTGTAATTTGCAATGGAAATGATAGTTTTCATATTTATTATCTTCTGCGTCGTTTTTAGTTTAATTTTTCTTTGTTTCAATTTAGTTACGTTTCACGTAAAAATTTTATGGATTCATCAAAGCATTGCATTCTGGGTACACAGCAGTTTAAACCACGTGAACTTGCTAGTCAGATGAATCTCAGTATGTACAATGGTTGGGGAATAGTACGATGTATTATTGATTATTGTATGAATCTTGAAAAGGGGAAATATCTTATTTTGAAGGATCCTAACAAGGTAACAAAGGCTTTACTGAGCTTATAGTTAACTGGATCGTTAATCTTTTTTTGGCAGCATTCGGATTCAGTTTAGTTTCACTCACGACAGTATTTCTTTGTTATGGAAATTATGCATATTCATTATCCTTATTTATCATTATTTATCCATTGTGTGTCCTTCTTTTAAAGGGGATGATTCGTATTTACGATATTCCCAACAACACGTTTGATTCGGAAGATGAAGATGATGACGATGATGAAGAAGAAGCTGATGATGAGGATGAAGATGAACAAGAGGAGGAAATTGAGGGTATGTAAGAACAATGTTTTGATGTTTAGGGATAAGTAGGAGCATACGAAGCTCTGTTCTGTTAGTGAATCAATTCTCACTCATTTTTATAGCAAACATTTGATGATGATTTGTTGCTGAAGAATAAATTCAATTTCTATGAATTATTACAAGTACATGATTTTTTTTTCTTGAATTGTGTAATTCAATATAAGCTTCAATAATTTGCTTCGAAATAAAAATATCTTGAAATGTTCACAAGTGATTGTTTTTAAATTCCATATTGAGACTTCTTAATCAAATATCTCCATGAGTTGAATGTGAATGTCTTAATGGATGATTAATAAACATTATGAATGTGTATTGTTTTGTCGTTTATTCACTTCATTTTGAGTTGCATATCAACAGAAGGTTTTACGTTTTTTATGTCATTTAATATTACCAAGTATTAAAGTAAATGTTTTGAACCCGGGAGTATCGTACATGTTTGTAGATGTAGATCGTCCAAGTTAGTAGAGCCTTGAGAAAGACTGTTTTTGTTGTTGATAATGTCATACTTATCTTCTCACTTGCTTCTGAGACAGTAAATATCAACATTCCTCACGACTCTACTCTAACCTGGACAATTACGTCTACAAACATGTAATTACCCTCAATGACGTCATGTGGTATTTGGTTTAACAGAATTTTGTTAGTTGTAATACAGCATTGACCATGAACTAACCATACAGCATTGACCATGAACTAACCATAAAGCATTGACCATGAACTAACCATACAGCATTGACCATGAACTAACCATACAGCATTGACCATGAACTAACCATAAAGCATTGACCATGAACTAACCATACAGCATTGACCATGAACTAACCATACAGCATTGACCATGAACTAACCATAAAGCATTGACCATGAACTAACCATACAGCATTGACCATGAACTAACCATACAACATTGACCATGAACTAACCATACAGCATTGACCATGAACTAACCATGCAGCATTGACCATGAACTAACCATAAAGCATTGACCATGAACTAACCATACAGCATTGACCATGAACTAACCATAAAGCATTGACCATAAACTAACCATACAGCATTCACCATGAACTAACCATAAAGCATTGACCATAACTAACCATACAGCATTCACCATGAACTAACCATAGCATTCACTGTGAACTAACTATAAAACAATGTACTCATATTTAGTTAACATTTTATTTTTACTTCAGTGATGTTCAATAAGTGAAATTGGACAAAAGAATATAAAAACCTTTTGATTTTTCCATTTTATCATACGTTTTTTAGAATTTGGAATCTCTGTTCATGGTTTTTGATATAAGAATTCCATGAAACATTTTTTACTAGCGTTGATTTATCTCAGCAAATAACTTTAAGAAATTACTGCATGTGTCATGTTTTTCATGCATTCGTTTGCTGAGGTATTATGGTGGGCCCTGGGGGTGTCATTTGCGACGCTCAGTGTGTACTCTTTCATCCCCACCCGCCCCCAATGTTCCCCCTCTCTTTGTGACGTCCTGACATTTACCTCAAATATTTCATTTACATCATTTCCGTTGCCCATATTGGTAAATTTCCTTGATTTGTTTTCTTTTGTGAACTGCTTCAATAATACTGTCGTGTATCGTGGATATTTTTTACATGTAGAAAACACTGTATTTTCTCCGAACTTTCTTGATGCTAGCAAGAGTGGTGAAAGTTGATATGTGGTGATAACAAGCGATCATAAGGTACTCGTATATACATACTTTGGTAATATCTAATTATTTTAATTATTTTTCTAATTGTCCGACAAACGAAACTAATTTTTGTACATGTTAGTTCAGTGGAGATTATGTTGAACTTGGCAAGTGTCGTAATTACAAAGCAAGATATTATTGATCGCTTGTTGGATGGGGTAAAGCAAGTTAGTTTTAAAATATTTGTACGTAGTTTAAAGTTCGAACTTGGAACTTGTAATTTCGTTTCGTCTTTTATTGTATTGATTTTACTCGAATGATTTGGTCGACTTGAACCTCGTCGTTTCTTTAGTGTCAGGTTTGATTTGGTAGTACAACGGAATTGGCTTCTGAGAAGGATAGCAGGTGAACTTGATATTTCTTCGATTGTATTGTATTGTGTTCATTTTATTTCATAGTATAATCCTTATTTATCATAATCTTTGTATTTATGATGAATTACAGAATCTCTTGTCTTTGTGAGCAATGGAACATTGTTCTTCAATTTGGCATTAAATCCACAAAAAAGATAAATTCTTTAAGGTATCTTCATCATTCCTCTCTCAATTCAGTCAATTTAAAAGCCATTCTTAAATAATTTGTTTTCATCATTGCTATGTTCATTAAAGGCAGGTGTTAATGAGATCTGAAGGTCAATCTGTGTTCTGGCTATTTATCAAGGAACATCTTAGCTCTAGTGAAATAATGACATATAATTCTTTACATAATGTAATGACAGATGTTGGTAGAGGTTGGTCAAGTTGTTGGTTTCTAAATGATTCCAGGAATGTTTGTGGGTAAAACCTTTTGTATGCCATGAATTTGTTCTGACATTTTTCTTTCTATTTTGATATTTATTTGACAGCTCAAGCATGGCTTAGGTCTAGTTTAAACGAGCAATCACTGGAGAAATATCTTCATAGCTTCATTGGGCATAAACAATTGCTTTTGTAAGTTTGATTTAAGTAACATTTAAGAAAGAAAGATCAATCTTGGCTTGATAAGCTATATGATTATCATAACCAATGTATAATGCGATATAGTAATGCAATTTTCTTTTAACGGTAAGCTGTTGATGTCAGAATAATTATACGATGTGTAATTGTTTTAATTTCAGTCAGTATTATGAGCAAGATGCATTATTATTGGATGATGAACGATCTAGTATGTTACCAATGATGGCTGCTGGTAAGAATAAACTTGTTTATATTTCTATAATGGATTTTTTATCATTCCTTGTTTCTTCTTTAAGGCTTAAGTTCAATTCTTTTTGCAATTGACATTGACAAAGCTGAGTTTAACTCTATTACTGTACAGGTATGCTGGAATGCTATTGATATTGTTTAAAATGAATCTTTGCAAATAGAAATGGATAGTAAAAAGTGGAAGCTATGAATGTACTTTTCTTTAACTACTTGAATTTAATTTAATTTTTAGATTCCGGCAATATCAGCCAAGCAGTTTCTCGTCCAACATCAATATGGGCTGTACCATCACCAATGTATGCGACGTCAGGAGCTCCTGGTGAAGTTTGTTAAATACAACATTTTAAGAAAATAAAGATTTGATCAGAATTTCATTTTTCTCCTGATCAAAAATATCCCTTTTATCCCTAATTATCCCTACCATTCATCTCATATATCGCTAATCTTATCATTCCTTAACCACACATGTCATTTATTCCTTGTAATCCCCCAACCATGCGTTCTCCTTAACCTTTATTATCCCATTATTACATGTCTTCATTTATCCCTTAACTATACCTGTTGTTTATTCATCCCTTATCATCCCTTAACCGCGTCCTCATTTATTCTTTATCATACTTGAACAATGCGTAGTCATTTATCCCACGCGTCTTTATTAATTTTAACTTTTATCTTTCTTTTGTGTTTCAGGAAAAGAAAAGAAAAAACGTAAAAAAAAGAAAGCAAACATTGCTCAAATTGAAAATGTTGAATTCAAAGAGACGGAAGAAGGAACTTCTACTGTCAGTTCTCATGGTAGTTCTTCCACAACAACGACTGCTCACGATAGTGCCACGAGTTTTACCCGAGCGGCATACGACATATTACAACGTAATACTGATTCTCAGGTACATGCTCGTGGTAACCATGCTTTCACTAAAAGGCCTGACGATTTTCTTGAAATGCCAAAGAACTCTCAGTTGGCTTATTGTTCGAATTCTGAGAATTCAAGTCTTTCTTCCACAATGGCGAAAACCAACGTTGAGAACAAGGAGAATGAAACAGATGAACAAGTGGCTCGATTAACAAAGAAAAGCCAGGAAGTTCTGCATCTTAAAAACGAGTTTAAAACTGCGAATGATTTGAAAAAAAATCATTCTTTGACAACATCTTTGCAATCAGGGCATTACACTGACTCATCGCTCTTGTCGGAGGAAGAAGTGTGTGAGCCTCTTGTTGATATGAACAGCGGTGTATCTCTAATTCCCGTAGTTTGCCCCGATGACGATAAAGGAGTTAGGGTCTAGCTATGTCAGATGAAAATGAGCGATTTACTGTTGCACCTGAGACGTCGCGACATTTAGTTCATTCAATAAATGATTCGCCCGTTTCAAGGTTAGAAGATACTTCATTATTTTATCGACAAGAATGTCTAACGAGTTCACCATTTTAACTGAGGTGGTAATTTATGTTGTTTTCAGTATTTACACTGATGAAGACGTCGAGAATGATGCAAGTTTAGCAATTGGAGCAACTGTTGCAGCGATATGTGCCACACGTGATGGTAGCATAGAAATTAATGATTACTCAGGATCGTCATTGGTCAGAACCATGGGTGATGGTTGTATGAATGTTAGTTAATTATGAAATGCTTTTATCTTTTTGGGGGAGGGAGGGTAGAAAGCCATGTGTAAATATCTTTGTTATATTTAGTTCGTTATATTTGGTATGTTTTCGTTCTTTAGCCATCAGAGGAATATCCATCAGGCAAAGAAATGACTTCAGGTTTGTGTGTTTTTCTATTCATGTATTTAAATGGTTTTATTTCTTATATCTTTTGAAAAATGTTTTCGGAACGGGAGAGGCACTTTTGCCTCAGGTTCTCAAACTATAAATGGGCTATTAGCAGGTAGAGTTAGTTTTAAATATAGAAATATTTAGTGCAATTGGATTTTACTATTTGTATCGTAGTTGCTTTGCTTGTTTGGAGACATCCGTCAAATTTCATCATGTGAACTGAATATTTGTATGTGTGAATAATTATAATTTCATGAATATCAATAAATACGTGGTTTTTTATTGTTGAAGAGGAATTAAAACAGGCGATTGTATCGATGATGTTAAGAAAAGATGAAGTTGAAGAACGTAACAGGTTGTATTATCGTCCTTCGTTTAATATTAACATTCCATTCGAATATACACTATTTTGCCCTGATTTTTCCTTCGATCATCTTTCCTGTAGATCATTACAACAACATTTGGAAAAGAGATGATGAAGTCAGCTTCTCTTCGTCTTCAATTAGAAGATTTAAAAAGAGATATGTCGTCGAAAAATGAAGAAAATTACGTCGCTCTTAACGGCTTAAAAAGGTTAGTACATTGAGAACTCTGCATTTCCGTTAATCAAAGATGTCTGTTGACCTGTTTGTTTTTGCTCTTTAGTGAAAATGATTTGCTCAAACACCAACTAAAGAAATTTGTTGGTGCTGTTCAATCGTTGAAAAGAAATGACATTATGGAAAAAGGTTTGTTAGAGGGATAGTTTATCTTTAAAATAGATGTATAAATCTAAGATATTCGATAATCTTTTGTGTAGCTCCAGAAAATGAAAGACTTTCTTCTATCATTCTTTCTCCGGAGTCTGACGTCGACGAAGTGAGGTATTTACCGTAAATTTGTAGCAAAAGTGAATCAACGGCGTTGAATTTCGTTCCTTTTTCTTGTAGAAAGGAAGAAAACAAAGATTTTGAGCGGAAGTTGATCCAAGTAAGATTTCCATTAAACCATAAAACTTTTACAAAACGAAACATTTGCCTTAAAAGGTCTTCATGTATCATATGTTGCAAGAAGATGAGCCGAAATTTATTTGATAGAAAACTCTTTTATACGATGCACACGATGACTTTAAGAAATATCTAATACAAGAAGATATTTTAACTTATGAAAACTGAGGATAAATAACTGAAATGAAATCGTGATATATGTTTAAAAACTCGCCACTCTGACTGATTTCGCGTTTCTTGTTCATCCCTGGGAATTTCATGGTGATGACGTCATGGCGTAAGTTGTGATGAAATGTTGTTTATCATGTTTAAAGGTCGCTGATATGCATGGCGAACTTATTGAACTCAATGAAAGACTACAAAAATGTTGAACGCTCGTGAATATCAGCTAAGAATATTAAAAGAAGAGCTTGTCAATCTTAGAGGACCGGTATGTTCAGTAAAGACCCGTGTGTTCATTATAGTACAATAGATGTACAATATTGATCGGTATGTACAATATGAACTGTTTGGTATGAATATGAAAAGCAGTAAATATTCTTTTGATTTTCTAAATATTTCTTAATAAAACTACGTATCTTCGTATGTTCTAGCTTCCTCAGGACAATAATCATGATGAATGTTTATATTTGACGGAGTTTGGTCCAAATTTCATGTCTGTCAATACTCGTCCTTTAATTAACATTTGGATTCCATCTGTTTTGTACAAGGAAAGTCTCCAAACATTCACCATTCATATCAGGTATAATTTTTTCCATATATTTATCTCTAAAAAAAGTAAATAACTCTTCCGATGTGATGTTGATGGTTATCTGGACTAGATTAGGGATAACTAGGGACTACATTTCTAGATTTATGATCTATATTTAGTATTTTCCTCGTTTCAAATACATCACCCTTGAGAAAAGTGTTTGTGGTCATCGTATTTAAAAGATCATGTCGTAGTTTAAATTTACTGCTCAAATATTTCACTTTTATATGTATATGTTTAGTGGTGTTGAGAAAAAATCACAAAAGTACATATTCATCCCGACAAGCCTGTTTCGTGACTGCTCACTCTTCAGGGAATTTTCCTTTAATCACGAAACAGGCTTGTCGGGATTAATCTGTAATTTTGTGATTTTTTGTCAACACCACTTAACATATTTACGCTCTGCTCTCGGGCATCGAGCACTGTTTTATACGGAGAATCATCAAATATAAACTTCCTATATATATGTATATCATCTGCTCAGTGGTCCAGTTATTGTCTTCAATAAAGAATTTAACATTGTTTACTTCACAAGGTTTATATCCGTATCAAAGACGATGAATGGAATGTTTACAAAAGATACTCGGATTTTTATGCCCTACATAAGAAGGTTTTTAATAAACATCAGTATTTTAATGTTTTTAATCATATTGTTTTGCCGTAATGTACAATCCCTTCCTTTTCCTTTTTATGCACAGACAAGCAAGCAGTTTAAACCTGTTGCACAATTCACGTTTCCCGCGAAGAAAATTATTGGAAATCGTGACGTAAATTTTGTGGAAACACGTCGGAAACAATTGGAAAATTACTTGAGAAAATTGATCAATTATAGTCTGGGTGCTGTTCCAGAGTTAGGTGAAAATCCTTGCAAGAGTTCTTTGTTCAAATACTTTCTTTCCATTTTTCATGTGAGTGAGTAAACACGTGATCATGTTTGAGTGTAATTTATTGTTCAATATACAGAATATTAAACGATTTTTTAGTGTTAATGTTTGTAAGGCAAGAATAGACAGAAAAAATTGAAAGTCAAAACAAGAACATAAAGCAATCAAGCGCATGCGCTGATTGGTCTATAGCTGTGTTTTCATTAGCTTGTGCAAACCGATCTGAGCTCAACAAATCAAATCAATCAAAGAGAATTCGCAAATCAATCATGAATACATTTTAGAGGAAAAATTAAAACGTTTGTTTTAAATTTGTCTGTTTCGCATTATTGATATTTTTTTAAAAAGATATTTTTCGTGTTTGCACTGGCTTATGCAAACCTCGGAGACGTTTGTGAGAACTCTTGAGCATGTGCAATACTCTACCTTCGGTTTTCGGCTTGCACTGATCTGCTCTCGAGTTCTCACAAAGGTCTCCACGGTTTGCATAAGTCCGTGCAAACACAGAAAAATCTTTTATTTCGCAATAATACAACACAAAGAACTCAAACTTTGGTTTGTTTTAGAAAGAAAATCAAAATGCTACTACCTATTGTTTCATGAATAGTTTATCAATTTTTCTCTAAACTTTAAGCAAATATTTTACAGGCAAACTTCAACGGTATCATCTGTTTCAACGACGACAACGACAACACAAACTGTTCCTTCTACACACTAAGGTTAAAATGTAAAACTTGTGGGATGTCTGTCAAAAAAAACAGAGCATAGAAATTGTATAAGTTATATTGTATATATATAACATACGTATAGTTCAGTATATATAAATATAATATGTCTACAAAGTAGAAGAATTTCCTGATGCATCAACTTCAAGGACTCTTTATTGTATGTGTTATATACAGATATAATTTGTCAGTATTTGCTACTATATAATAGTACATCATACTGGGTTTTAACAAGTTAAAACATAATATTTAACTTGAAATGAAAACAATCGTATATTAAATACATCACACGAAACCTACTATGCTATTAAATGTTGTGCTATCTCAGCACGATTTGATCAATTTACATATCCCGCGTCACCCAGCTCTTGCTGGCGAATGTTTATACGACTTGACACGTGACCAATTTTGATCAATACGTCATATGACTTTTTGCCGATCTTTCCCGCGCTATGTGTAAAGAGATTTCTTGCTGAAACAATCTTTATCGTAAGTATTACGTAAAATATTTCATTTGTAAGTTTCAAAGTATTACAGTGAGTAATATAACCTTTTATTTCAGAGAAGAAGCGTATACAGTCGTTATTGTAAGTATTGTACAAAATTTCTAAGAATAGGATTTACTACTTCCTACATGTATGTATTGTAATATGAAGATGTCTTCAGCTAAAGACGAAACGTTATTGTTGATAAAATTATATACCCATGGCCATATTAAAAGTTTTATGATGGGCAATTATATTTATACTAAGAATTCGCTTTCCGCCTTGCAAATCCATTTTCACAATATTTTATAACATCACAACAAGTTAAACCTGTTGAATACATGATTCTTTCTTTGAAGCTGTTGCAAAAAGTCGTTTCCAAACTCGAAAAACGAAAATGGCCGTTGAAGAGTTACGTTTTTTACAAAATTTATATCAGTTTTACCCTAAAATATCAGCTGCTTCTTCCTCAGTCAAACTTTATACTTCATTCCTCATTCATTTTTCGAAGCTGTCGGGAAAAGTCTTTCAAGAAGTCAGAAAAGATGTTGACGAAGAAACATGGCATTGCCGAAGTTTTTGTTGTACATGGTGGTTTTTTTACCAGAGGTTTGACAATTGCTGGTTTATCAAAGATCTTTACGTTAAATACATGATTATTTTTTGCTAAGCTCTTTGAAAAAGTCGTTCAAGAACTCAGAAAAGACGTTAACGAAATAACGACCGTTACAGAATGGCATTGCGGAAATTTTCGTTGCACAAGGTCGGGTTTCTCTTGGCGAATTGTTGCCTCCAATATTAGCTGCTTTTATGTCCATCGTTTGTATCTTTACTGTTTACTGAAATAACTGCCGAAAGTTTGTGTAAGAACATGTTACATGTTCGTTCGCTGAATCCCGGCTATCGGGCTCATATAAATAGTCCCTAAAACTAAAGGTAAGTTTATGAAAGTAATCAACTGCATTTATATTGCTGTTGACTATAGTCTTTGCATTTTCACACATTTCACACCAAAGACTATAGTCTTTCATTTTACACACTTTCACATTGTCGCATGGAGATTGAAAATTTTAAAAAGGACAACAAATAATACCGGCTGATAGTTGAATAAAAAATAAAAAAATTGTAATAATATTTTTCTATCCGGTTCATTCCTTTGATGTGTGCAAAACTAGTTGGTCAGCCTTCATTTACCATTGAAGACCTTTGTATAATTTCAATGTCTGTCACTACGCTGCCCACAGGTGCATGGAACATTGTTAGCTACGTTGATGCAAGCACAAAAGATTTTCCTCCATTGAAAATGTAATGCACTAGTGAGGTTAGCACAGTGATTGGGTTTCGAAATTTTACAATAGTTTAATTGCCAAACGTCGTTTTTATATACACCCTGTAGAATGCTAATTAAAAGAGATCAAATGTTAATGCTAATAAATACAATAAGAAAATGAGATGAAATTAACAATCTAGAGGGTTTATCAAATCATTTTTGACATCAGTCGACCTTTAGAATTTGCACGATTCAGCTGTAGTCGTTCCCCAAGGAGACTTAAATGTTTGGGATTTGCTATTTGCTGTAGCTGAAGTATACGTTTTTATTTATATTGTATTAAATTGCATTTACCGCTCTATGGGATTAATCTAAGTGATGAATCATGCAAATTCTAAATTTTACAATGTACAATTGACGACACACCTG